TGCTAGGCAAGCGCTCTACCGCTGAGCCACAACCTAAGCCATGTCAGGGTTTTCTTAAGAGCATAATTGAACAAAACACAGTAGTGTCATTTTCTTAAAGAATCACATGATTTAAGAATATTATTTTTTAGACGACTAACTTCATCTGTAGACGAAAACCTAAAATAACTAGAACTAGATGAACTTAAAGTATTATTTATGAACATTGTTGATTTCTGAGACTTAAAAATATTTTTTCTTTAATTACAAAAATAATACTTATTGATATAAAACATTAAAAATCAAAACAAAGATGCTAACTACATACATATCTATGTATGTGTACATATAGAAATAGTGGCTGGGCAGGTGACACACGCCTGTAATCCCAGCGGCTTAGTAAATGGAGGCAGGAGGATTGCAAGTTCAAAGCCAGCCTCAGCAAGGCGAGGTGCTTAGCAACTCAGTGAAATTCTGTCTCTAAATAAAATATGGCTGGGCATGTGGCCCAGTGGTTGAGAGCCCCTGAGTTCAAGTCCTGGTACGCCCCCCCCCACCAAAATAAAAGGTAATGTGTGCAGTATTTATATATATAAATGCTATATATGCATGCTAAGTATATAAATACTACATAAACACCATAGATGTATGTAAATCTATATGCTATAAATACTATATATATGTTTACTACATGGTACTAATAAACTATAAATACTTTGTAGGCGTTTTCCTATCCTTTAATTGCAGTCTTTGTTAACAGCTTGGTGTGCTTCTTTCCTGTCTTTTCATATGGATTTTTAAAATAATTAGATCATATGAAATATACCTTTTATGCTAGCTTCTAAATATAATATTAGCATTTTCCTGTAATATACACTCTTCATAAATTATTTTTGTCTGCAATGTATATGTCTTTAGGAAGCTTAAAATTCCTCTCTTGCCTTCCACAAAGCTGTACTCATTTGACTGTGCATTTGCAGGTTCATTTGGGTTGTTTTTGCTGGCTTCTCTTTGAAACATGATCAGTTTAAGGTTATCAGTCTACTTCTTATCACTCTTTTCCTCATTCATGACATCCACACACCACAGCTTCAGCTATCACTTCAAACCTCTCTAAGAACCTCAGCTCTAACTTAGACTTCTTAAGTCTCTGGTCCCTTAAATCCATTTGCCTGTTGAACATCTGCTATGGATGCCTTGAAAGCATCTCAAATATAGCTTGTTCAGAACTCTTGTCTTCTCCTATGGTGGTTTCTTTTCTAATATCTTCTGTCTTCATCACCATCTATGTCTATGTAGTTGCTTACACTAGAAATTTAACATCCTAGATTCTTCATCTTTTTAAATTTTTTTAGTTGTAGAGGAGTACAATACTTTTATCTTATTTATTTTTATGTGGTGCTGAGGATTGAACCCATTGCCTCATACATGCTAAGCAAATGCTCTACCACCGAGCTACAGCCCCAAGTTATATTCTGCTTCACACAATAAAACTTAAAAAGTATTTAAGGCTCTGGAGTTGAAGTAGTGAACAAAACCAAGCCCTTGTTCTCACAGAACTAACCTTCTAATTGGGAGAGACACATTTATTGACAAAGCTATGAAGAATATAGAGCAGGGTTACTCAAAATGATAGAGTAGGAGAGATGCTTGGTTATTATAAGGTGGTCAGGGAAAGTCTTATAGGAGATATTTTCACAAGGACCTGAAGGAAGGAAGGAAGCAAGCCATGTATAGATTTGAGAAAGAGTCTAAATAAGGAACTCTTGTCTTACTGGAGCAGAACGAGCAAGAGGTAGAATGGTAGGAGATATCAGAGTAGAAATGGGGGTTAGACGTCTGGCCTCAAAAGCCAAGGTTTAAATACTCTGGATTTTATTTTGAGCAATCTAGGAAGCAGGGGGGTTTAAGAGTAATGCATAGCTGAATTAAAGGGGGAGCAAAGCTTGGAGACCAGTTCAGAGATTTTGTAATATCATAAAAGATTAAGATGGTTTAGATTAAAATGGTGTTAGGAAGAGGTGGTGGGAAGTGGTTATATTCTGGATTTATTTACATAACATAATTAGTTGATTTTCAGGTGAGAATGTAAAAAAAGATGAAGGGTGACTTCTAGATTTTTTGTCCAAGTGTTTGTTTAGACAGGAAAAACAGTTGAGACTGTACTAGTACAGTAGCCACTTACTATGTTTAGTTTCTCTGTCCTTCCATCTGTTCTTGCTTTATCTAGCTGCTGCTTTTATATATATAAATTTTTAGTTGTAGATGGACACAATACCTTTATTTTATTTGTTTTATTTTTATGTGGTGCCCAGGATCTATCCCAGTGCCTCACACATGTTAGGCAAGCGCTCTACCACTAAGCCACAGCCCTGGCCCTTTAGTTAGCTTCTTAAAGCATACATCTGACAGTTAACTTTATTCAAGTCTCTTCCTTGCCTACCCACAGAAAGATGAAGGCAGTTTATATTGTTTAGACTACGTTGCATATATTTTATGCTGTCATAGTATAAAGTAGCTCTAATTTTTAAATGGTAGTCTTTTTCATTTTTTAGTTATAAGATAGGTAAAGTTTAGAAAAAAGAATTTTATAAGGATTTTGTGTAAGAAAAGGTAAGACAGTTAGTAGGGATTTATGACTAGGGATCAGAAAGGTGCTTTTGAAATGTAGTTACTATTCTAATCCTACCTATTTTAAAACTCTAGTTAAAATATATGTGTGCATATAATTTTCCCCATATTTGTATATAGGGTATTGTAACTTCTGTTGATCAGATAAGCGATTAATCAAGTGATCTTGTGGATGTGTGTGTGTGTGTGTGTTTGTGTGTGTGTGTGTGTATTATAATATACTGGGATTACAATGGTGAACAAGTTAAAGATGTTCGTCCTTTTGAAATTAACAGCCCAGCAGGGAAGAAAGTGATCTAACATAGTAATGTTTCACAGGAAGAACACACATATTCTGCCAGAAATTTCTGCATGTTTAGAATTTGTTAAATAGCATTTTTCATCTTGTTAGGGCTAGAATATCTTCATTTTTTATTTTAAATGTCTTAAAAATCAAGAATCTAATGATCTAATTTTCCCATGCCATATAGTTTATGATCAAGTTGGGATTCAAACTTAGAATTTTTGAAACCAGAGTTGTAACCACTATGTGTATAATTTTTAATGATTTTACTATGATGATAAATCAAAGAAAATACAAATATGAATAGAAATATATGTAACTTTATAGTTTGAGGGTTTTTTAAAATTAAGGTAAATTAGTCATGAACCTCTTCTAGTAATGCAACAGCTGATATTCTTGGCTTTTTTAGAAAAAGATCACATGCTTTCTTTTTTTAATCTTAAAATCATATGGGATAATTTTAAACTTAAAGTACATATGTACTGAATTAAAAAACAGACCAGGATAAGATTAGGTGGTATTGCTAAGTGGCCTGAGTCAGGATTTTCACTACAGCAAAAAAAATACACACACACACACACACACACACACACACACACACACACACACACGACATTTGCTGTTGGATTCTAGGGTGCTGTGAAGCTCCCTCTTACATAGGATTTAGATTTTAAAGGCATAGCAAGATGAATTGCATGAAATTACAATTACCTTTGAAAATCCTGTACGTCCCAACAACCTCAGCTTGGACCACACCAAGCCACCAACATTTTTTGCCCAAATTATTGAAATAGTCTTCTAATAGGTTGTTCTCCTATTGTTTGTTATTTCCACAGCAGCCAGTATGATCTTTTAAGAATATAAATCAGAACATCTTGTTCCTCTGATCAAACCCTTCTACTGGCTTCCCATTTCCCTGAGTTTAAAAGCCAATCTGCATCAATCCCTGCTAGGGCCTGTGTGATCCTTAGGAGCTCTTTGACTTCCTCTCCTRCGCTTCTTGGATGCTGTCCTTGCCATACTTTCCTCTTGCTGTTTCTTCTACCTTGACTCTTCACCTAAATATCTGATATCTTTACCTCATTCATAGTTTACCCAATTTAAAAGATCACTTTTCTTCCCCATCCTACCCTTTTTTTCTCTATAGCATTTAACACTGGTTGACAAGCAGTATAGTGTTGATATATTATCTTCCTCAACTGGAGTGACTTTTCATGATGGCAGGTATTTGGTCTTTATTGATCACTGCTATACCTCGTGCTAAAACATTGTTTAGCCCAGTTCAATCACTATTTTTAAAATTAATTAATATATTAATACTAAAGTACATGTTTGATGTCCTTTTAAAATATCTGTTGTATATGTACAGACAGAGTGATTTAGGCTGTAAAGATGTAGAGCTGAGAAGTCAGTAGACACTGGAATCACAGAACCAGAGTTTTTTGTTTTTGTGTATATGTATGTGTGTCTAAGACAGTATGTCATCAAAAACACTTTTAGACCAATCTTGACTGTCTTGGTCTTTACTTAGTCATGTGAATTTAAAAGCAAGTATCTTAAGATAGTAAAGGAGAATGGGAAAMTAAATTTTAATCATGTTTTTTTCATCCCAACATAGTTTATTTTTGTTTCCTAGGTTCTCTTAACTACTTTTAAATAATTATGTTTTTAAAATTGTATGTTTTTTCATAAAAGATTTTGAATTGTTTTTAAATCAGTGCTCTGAGAACAAGAACAAAAAAGTCATCAAAATCTTTTACTGATTCAGATTGAGGGTGTCATCTGTATAAAAGATATATGCTGCTTTTTTTCCCCAACCCCCACCTTCCAACTCTTTTTAATTGGTAATTTTCACAAGTTGAAGCCTCATATTACCAACACTAGGAAAGCTAATACTATGACTGCCACTCTTCAGTTAGTGTTTCAGATAAGATATATTTTGTCCACTGGTGTCATTTAAGGTATTTCTTAAATACTGCAATTTGAAATAGAAAAGAGACAAAATGAAGTAGTCTTGTGATGAGCATTTGTCTAAATAAAGTCTTAATTTAGCATGAGAATAGTAGTAGTCTGATCTTAAAATGAAATGTTTGTATGTTTTTTCTAGGAGCTATGAATCAAGCAGATAAAAATCAAGAAATCCCATCATACCTTAGTGATGAACCACCAGAAGGCAAGTATACACTTACAACATGAAAGACGGAAAGAATATACGAGTGAATGAAAGTTTGATTGATTTTATTAAATTTATAGAATTATAGCTTGTTCACCTGCTCAGTAAATGTTTTAAAAGTAATAGAAGATAAACACTTGTACTTTTTAATTAAGAAGCACAGATATTGGTGAGTGGAGACACAATTTAACTTTTTTTTCTTGAGATACAGTTTAATTTTATCATGTAAGGCTTATTTTCCTGTCACATTTTAAAGACCATTTCACAAGGAAGAACATCTTTTCATAAACTGTTTATTTTTGATGTCCTGTATACAAAAAGATCAGCTTAATTTAAGAAGCATTTGAGATTTGTTGTTAAACTCTGGTTATCCATTGTATTATAACTGGTAGCTCTCTCTTCCTATATTAATAAATACATGGTTATAGGGTCTTTTAATGTCTTTCTGAATCATAATTCTCTTATAGTTTGAAAATTATGACATCATGAAACATTTTTCTATTTCTTTACTTCCAAAAGCCTTGGAAATAATAACTACCCCCTGGATTGTCCTCATTCCATACAGAAAATGACTACAGGCATTTTTAATTTATAGTTTTGGCATAGAATGTTATTAAACTTAATATAAATAATGATCTTAGAGGATTGCATATTAATTGCTAGGGCTGGAAGTCCTGACTCTAGGTGTTATATTTTCCTCCCAATGTTACCCACTATTCAAAAATTTTTTTCATATATTGGTAGATAAAAACGAAATTGCTAGGAAAATAACACAATGAAAAGCTTGCTCTTAAGTCTAAAAGAAGATGGAAGAACTAGCTAATTTGGTTTAATTTAGATTAGTTTGCTTGGTGGAAGAATATCCTGGAAAATTATTAGCTCTTTTCCTTGCTTTATTTTTTAGGACTAGAACGATAGGGTTTTGAAAAGTTAGGTCTCAAGAGAAAATTAAAAGGACTTTATGGAAAGAATTCAGGAAAAGGATAAAGGCATCCAAGAGGATGTCAAGGAAGAGAACAGAGCCTCAGGAATATATTTAAAAGTCAGCTGTTTAACAAGGGTAACTGCAAAGCAGATAATTTGTGTGGTGGCAATTAAGAGTACAGAGTAATTGAAGAGAATAACAATATTTAGCTTATTTAGTAAGAAGAAGTTATTTGTCTTCATTAAATTTGGCCAAGTAAGATAATTTTGTTAATGAGGTATTTGGCATGATTCAGTCATCTATGTTATCCTTAAATCAGGATATTGCCTCTCTTCCTAATGTTTTTGACTTTAATTACAAAAGAATTACTAATTATGTAATCTTTTCCATCATAATTTTATAATTAACATATTAAAATGCTCATCTATATCATAAGCGTTTTATTTCAGCCATTCAAAAATTGTATAAATTATGCTTACTATTTGTTTCTCCTTTTGTGGTGCTAGGGATTGAATTCAGGACCTTGTACATGTTAGGCAAGTGCTAGGTCACTGAGCTACATCCCCAACTCCTCGACTTAATAAACACATTTTTTTTAAATTTAGCCATTGTTATATCCATACCTAAACACTATTTTGATTAATGACTGAGATTTTCCCAACTTATGGTACAATGTTGTCCTGTGTACCCAAGAATTCATCTTTATTTGTGCGAGATTATACTTTTTCAGTAGGTAAAATCTGAATTACAAACTTCCCATGAAGTTTAGAAAAACACCATTGATGATGTGGCATTGTTGCTTAAATTATTAGGTGACAAAGGAGAAAAGACCTGTGTTCATTAGAAGCTGGTACGATGAAGCTTTTATGAAATCTTCCTATATAAGTTTGAAGTTACATCTAATTTTTATGGCTCTATTTTAAAAAAAAAAAAACAACCTTCAACCAACCAACCAAAGAAAATTAACTGATGACTTAGAAAGAGCTAAATTTCTTATATTGATATTACTTTTCTGGGGTATCTAAAAACAATTTTTTTTAATAAGATGTTTAAAGTGCAGACTTTTTTCCCATAAGAATCACTGAGGAAGTGATATAAATATTAACAATGTATGCTATAGTGTATATTTTACTTACATCTAAATAAAAATGATTTTAGGTAACAATTTTAAATTATGAATAGTTTTGTTTTTCTGTTTTTACACAGCATTAGTTGTTTAAGTATATCATTAAGGGACACAACAGAGACCCAAATATATTTAAATCAGCGATTTTCAGCTTTTTGATATCAAAAAACTTCTCAAAAAATTGAGGCCCAGATGGCTTGTGTTTAGTAAAAATTGAATTTGAATTTTATTCACCAAAAGAACCCAGTACACACATTACATGTTAACCTGGTTACCATGTTCTTATGAAAAGTGACTCTTTCCTAAAACAAAAAAATATCATGAGCAGGGTGACACTGTTTATACGTTTTTGCAAATATCTTTAATGTTTGGGTTAATGGGTGACAGCTGCATTTTGGAGTTATTGCTTCACTCAGTTTGTTGTGGTATTTAGCTTCTGGAAAACTGTTGTAAACTTGTGACACAATGAAAGTGTAAAGTCAATAACATGTTAATATTACTATGAAAGTAGGTGTTTTTTTTTTTTAAATTTAAAGTTGTAGATGAACACAATACCTTTCTTTAAATTTATTTTTATGTGGTGCTGAGGATTGAACCCAGAGCCTCACACATGCTAAGCAAGCACTCTACTACTCTGAGCCACAACTTCAGCCTGAAAGTAGTTTTCATCTGTGGGTATCTCCTGAAATGGCCTCAGGGTTTCCCAGGACTCCTGGGCTGTATTTTGAGAACCACTGCTTTATATGAAGATTGTTTCAGTAGTGATTGAATCTTATCAAGGAAATTGAAGGCTATGTAAATATTTTATCTTTATTTTTTTCATGGTTTTGGGATATTTAAAAAAAGATTTTTTTTAAAGATTATTTCTTAACAAAACTATAAATCAAGGAAGCATGTAAAATTAGATCTTTTAAAATAGGATTGTTTTATGAAAGTTGCCTAGTCTCTAAATCATTTCTTTTCATAGGTATTAAAACTTAGTTTTGGACCAGCATATGTATACAAAACTATACCCTCGAGGCAAGAACTCCTCAATGTCTTTCAATCAATCAACTGGTTGGCTTCTCAAATCAACTTTCTGATTGTGAGGGAGACTGTTCAATGACTTTTGTACTGCTCTTATAAAGATTTATATTTGATTATATTTTCTCTCATTAGGTTCAATGAAAGATCATCCACAGCAGCAACCAGGCATGTTGTCCCGTGTGACTGGGGGTATCTTCAATGTTACAAAGGGAGCTGTTGGTGCCACCATCGGTGGTGTAGCTTGGATTGGTGGAAAAAGTCTGGAGGTGACCAAAACAGCTGTTACAACTGTGCCTTCCATGGGAATAGGGCTGGTGAAAGGGGGTGTTTCTGCTGTGGCTGGAGGTGTTACAGCTGTTGGGTCCGCTGTTGTAAACAAAGTGCCCTTAACAGGAAAGAAGAAAGACAAATCTGACTAAAATATGGAGATATATTGCTCTCCACAGCATTATGATGCCAGTGGCATTGAATTGCTAAATTATGGACTACAACCAAGTCACCTGTTTTGGACGTTTATCTTCTAAACTGCTGTGTTGAAAGTATTGACGACTGGCTTTCATCTAAAAAGAAGAGACCAATACTAGCACAGTGTATGAAGGTTTCTCATACTCAAATTCCAGGTTTTTATCTGGTAAAATGTTACTCTTATTCAGTTGTAACTGAAAATATGGTATGTTTGAATATTTACTATAAGTCTTTCAGTTTGACTAAATGTGAAAGTTGAATTTAGTAGATGATCTTTACAGTTCCATATGTACAATGTGCCAGGTAACTCATGCCCCTTACAAAGGGAACCTTGAACTACATAAACTGTACCTTTGATGTGCCTAATAGTTTCAGATGTCTTAGTTTTTTAAAACCATAGTTGTTTAGGCCAAGAGGCATTTTGTTTCTTATTTAAGCTGGCAAAAGTAGCAGGAATTTGAGAAGTTTAAAAGAAAAGATAAATGGTTTTATGATAATATTAATCATCTTTTGTTAGATATGCATTGTATTCATTTAATCATTGATGCCTTACAAAAGAAAACATCTTTTCTAATACCTTAAATATGTGCAGTTCTTATAATTATCTATGGATTTTTTTCAAGGTTGTAAAATTAGTTTTCCCTCTTAAGAATCTCAGGAGTGATGGGATAAAGGCATTTCTTGCTGTCAGTGGATAAGACAGTGCTTGTTAGCTGTTCTGTTAAGTCGGTTGTTAAGGTCAAATTGTATATTTCAACTTGGATTCTTACTTCATTGTTAATTCACCTAACAGTGCCTAAGGAGTATTTCTTAGCCGTTCAGAAGCTATGTTGAAAGAGTTTCAGATTAAGGAGGAACAAATATTAAGTATTTAAAAATTACCTAAAAGCATCCAAGATATAAAAAGAATCTTTCACACCTATTCTGTCTTTTTAGGATGTCTTAAAGTATCAGTAGTTCTCCCTTTTAAAAATACAATAAAAGCAATCACAAATATGTAAGGACTGACTTTTAAATTGAATGAAATGGGCTCCATACATCAGTTTTGAATATAAAATATAAGTGCTTTCTATGATTTACATAGGCTTTTAAAAATATCTTACAGTCCTTCAACACAACTGTAGACTTCATACCATTTTTCAAATCAATTTCAGGTAGGGAATTGAAGTTTTTGATTATGGATGGCAAATGTGTCATATCTTACTACATTTGTCATCCTGTCTCATTCATTCTCAAAGTTACATAGCTAGAATTTTGTTTCATGTTTAGCTTCATGAAAATTTAATAATTCACATGTATTTGGCATTCCTTATAACTGAGGATTATACCTTGATCCTGAAAAAAAACCTTAATTTTCTTTATACTTCAAGTCTGGAAATTTGTCCATTCTTCCTCCACCTCCCAAAGGGAGGAAGAAAGGGCAATGGGGTCATGTTCTCCAGTAAGTCATTCAACATAGTATCTCTGAGAACTTGAACAGATCACTCTGAAACCTGAGGCTTATATAAACCACTACAAATATTACATTAATAATGTGATTAACAATTGGATAAGAATATCACCTTTAGCTTTCATAAATACCAGCAGGAATTGTGAGCAAATCTACACAGGGTCTTGAACCTTTCACTTATACAAAACTGAAGTCATCAGGAGTTCAATCCATGAGGAATTAAATAGTCATTTATTTCATGCAATATGTTGCTATATTGGTCAAATGTTTTAATTAGCAAAGGRAATTTGTTTTAAACTCCAAAGTAGATAAATGCATTAAATGATCTAAGTAATGGTATTAGAGAACTTGTTTCCTGCTATTACATAAATTACTGCTTCATTGCTAGTATTTTTAATTTATCTTATATAGTCATAGGCTCTGCTGTTTTGTACTTGAATTTCTTCTAAGGTATAGACTTTAGTTTACTATATGCTTGCATATTTATTTTTAGCTTTGCTTGTCTTAAATTTGCTTGAGGAAAATGGATATAATTCATTTCTGCTACAGAAAAGCTACTTGGTACATTTTATTTCATCCAGATTGTTTTAAATTCTAACCACAACTTTGTTCAGAGGGGCTTTTGCAATGGTAGCAGAGAACTGTACAAATGTACAGTATAGGTTCTTGTTGAATGAACTTACCCTTTGATGATATATGTACAGCTGTATCCTCAAGTCTTTTCCAGTTTATTTACATAGACTAGCAATTTGACCTGTTAAACAGGACGTTGACTTCAAGAAACTGCAATTGTTTTATACACCTGGAGGTATCTTACTCAGCTTATTTTTTGAGTGGGTATTTGGCACAATGAAGATAAACTTGTGTGACTCACTTGAGTGACTGATCTAATAATGTTGACATGAATCCTGTACTTACCAAAATGTCAAGTGAAAATAATTGATGATTAATTTTTTTGTATTAAAGAATGGGAAACAAACATGAACTTGTTAATAAAGCACTATGATCTGCAAAAGGTGAAATGTTTCATAAAGATGGAGAAATAAAGGAAATTTAAATACAGGATAATCTTAAAACTTAGTTACATAGCAGTTTAGAAAGTGCTATATCCAGTTTTTAATTTTTGTGATAATAATGTACAAACATAACATTCCAACATAACAGTGAAATATATTTTAAACACCCGTAATAGATTAAAAATGCACAGATTTCTAGGTTTTACCTCAGTTTGCCAAATCTCTGCAGGATAGAGCCCAGAACTGCATTTTAACAACCTCTGAAGGTTACTGTGCACACTGAAGTCTGAAACTGGGGAAGGAGTTTATAAAGTAGGGAGCACCTCTTAGACCACTCAATGGGCAGAAATGAGAAGCAATGGGGAGGAAGGTAGGAAACTACTACTTATTGGGCATCTGCTTTCCTGCCAGGTCCTAGCCTACATCATTTAATCGGCATAAGGTTTAGGCCAGAAACATCTTCAAAACCTTTTTTTTTTTTTTTTTTTTACAAATGCAGAACTGGCTAACTTTCACATTGTTAGTTGAATTTCCTGTATTGATTTTGAATGTGTCAGTCACAACTTCTCCAGCTTAGGTCCAGAAACAAATGGGCCTGTTCAGTAGCCAGTCTTTCCTTCTGGTGTTGATATTCAATGTAGGCTGTATGTTTGATTTATCAGGAAGCTTACTGGAGTAATGCCAGGTGATCATATTTACTGTGGCAACAAATTTTATTTTGCTGTAGAAATAAATTTAATGTAATCATACATAAATTGAAGGCAATTTAATTTTGTTATTAGAACCTTTTCTCAAAGAGGAAATGAAATTGACTAGTGTTTCATGCAAGAAAAGCTCCCCTTGACATGCTGTAGATTTTCAGTTTTTAAAAGTTTTATTTCATATGGAGATAGGAGAATGTAAGAATGGAGAAAAGGCAAAGCATAACTATTTCAGAGGCCAAACAATGGAATGGAATTTGGCCTAAGGGAAAATAAAGTCGGTATAATTGCTGGACTGACCATAAATGTGGATCTGTTTTTTAAAAAATGGTAATCTTCAAATTTGGAATAAGCTATAGTTGTATTTTCTAACTGCCTCTGGTTCCCTGTGCCTGGACCCGAGGACCTAAAATTTTAACTTATATACTGACTAGTTTCTTTTTAAACCAGTGTCTGGAAAGGACACGTGGGCTATTGAAGTTTTGTCCAATTATCCTCCCCTTCCATTGTGTGTTTACTTTCCCCTCAAATGACTTCCTCTATTTCCAACCTCCCACTTGTTTCCTCCCTGATTCTACTGTCATTTACAAAGAGGCAACTAGACAGCCCCTCCCCTGCTTTTCATTCCACTGGCTCCCATCAACCTGCCTGCGTGTATCCCAGGCTCTGTGGACTGGGACCAGAATCTCTGCTCTTAACCAAAGTCAATCTACCTTCCTTCCTCAAGGCTATTAATCTTGCAGTTTTCCATCTCTTATTTGTGTCTCTTGGGTTATACCCTTCAGCATATAAACATGTTCTTTAAACAAAAATTAATCTTGAAACTTCATTTAAAATTTTTTTCTTCACAGCAAAATGACTTTTCCTTGTCTCCAATTCTCTTTTCAATCCACTCCAGTTGGCCTTCTCACCTTCTTCATTACACCAGAAACACTCTTCACAGGGTTAATCAATACTTTCCTTTTTGCAAACCTGTTAGTTGATGCTAAGAGCCACAGCCAAGTAATATGATGCATGGCATTTTTGGTTGAAAGGTGATGCCAGCTAGCCATTGAGATGATATGATTATGTTAAGATTTGCATTCATATGGATATTGGACTCCTGCTGTTCACCTTGGCCTGCTATGGGACTCCTGGAGAGTTCCCATTGGTTGAGGATACAGTAGGAGGGAATTCTGGGGGAGGAACTTGCTGGGGTGGGGGGGGTTTCCGGGAATCCGGATTATTGTGGGGGGGGGGGGCGCGTATGGGGCATTGGCGGCAGTTTCAAAAAATAAAGTTTGTTCCTGCTTGAGTGGCTCATGATTTTGTGCCCAGYCAGACTGCGGCAATTCTCTACCATAGTTGACCTCCCATTGGGATTGTTACAGACCATGTCTTCTTTTCTTCCTCTGATCAACTTTTCCCRTGCTCACAGCTGTCTTATTCCAAATCTACATTCAAGACAATCTCATCTAGACCCATGGCTTTAAATACCACAGTATGCAAATGATCCTCAAATGTTATCCCCAGTTTTGACAACTCCAGACTTAGTCATTTGCACATTTGACATCTCTGCTAGAATGTTTAATAGGCATCTCAAAATTGACATCACCGGGTTAGATGTATCTAAACCAACCGATTAGTGTATCTAAACTGAGATATTTTCGAGTGAGCACCAGAGAGTGTGCAAGAAAGAGAACATATTACTGATTAATGCCAGGACAAAACTATGCAAGTGTTCCCCTTCACACTTAGAATGAGATCCTTTCTATTCATAAGGTTTGAACAGAAGCCAGATCTGAATAAATCTGGGCTCTCCTACTTGGCAGCTGAGTAACATCTCTAAGTTTGTTTCCTCCTCTGTAAAATGAGGAAAATACTGAATGCACATAAGTGCTTCATGAGAGATAATGGTTGATTGGTTTCAAAAAGGCCACAAAGGTAGGCTTCTGTACTATTGGATTAGTAATACTTGGTTCTTAAAAGTATTTATTCCAAACACAAGTTCTCAAAAAAAAAAAAAAAATGTCAGAAGCTTGCTAATGCTTCACTAACACTAAGCTACAATTCACGTAAAAGCAAAGTGATGTTTCAGGGCTGGTAATAAGGAAGACTATCTACATCTTCAATAAAACATGAGTAAATGTTCCCATATTTTGAATTAAGGGAGTGTACTTGTCAATTTTTTAGAAATGATTCACTTATAAATTATCACACTGATGTGCCATTGAATAGTACAAGAGTTTTTGGAATAATAGTTCAAGGAAAATGAATTACCAACTTTGTAAAAAGTGCAGTTTGTATTTTGGGGTTTTTTTTGTACTAGGGATTGAGCCCAGAGGGCTTTTACAACTAGGCTACATCCCCAGCCATCTTTATTTTTTGAGACAGGGTCCCATTGAGTTGCTTAGGACCTATGTTGCTGACCTTAAATTTGGGGCCCTCCTGCTTTAGCTACCTGAATCTCTGGGATTATAGGGATGTGCACCACAACCAGTCTGTATTTTAAAATATGCAAATGAGTCACAGATCATCTATTCAGAGATAACACCTCAGAAACTAGGTCCTTAAAATTACTGGTGCCTATTAACTGCCTGAATTGCTTAAGTATCTGAGAATCTGTTTCATCTTTATTGTTAAGAAGAAGTAACATCAGTAAGTCATTCTTCAACATTTAATGGTGCCACAGGGTTAAATAATGGCCTCTCTTTTTTGGCTTGAATTTTGCCAAAGTTAGCTTCAAACTCTTTTTTTGTTCCATTTAGATTTGCTAGGTGTCCGTCCTTTATTCTGTAGCCTAAAGAATTTAGTTTCCTTATTCTGTACTGAACTATCTGTGGCGTTAATTCGAGAACCATTGGTGTCTCTCTTATTTGAGCTATGGAAATTCCTTCTTTTAATAATCCCTGAATTCTCTCTTCTAAAACTGGAACAGAATAATATAAAAGAGCAGGACATTTCAAAACTAATTGCTTCAGGTCATGATCTGTGCATTCAAAAGCATTTTTAGAGAAGGAAATACTGTTCTGGATACCTCTTGGACAAAGTTGAAAAAGAAATCCTTTGAGTTTGGACAGAAGTTGAAGAATTTCAAAGTTTGTAAAGCCTTGCTTCTGGAGAAATTCTAGTGTTTCCTTTATAGTTGTAGGAGACCTTAACAAAATAAATGGATTTTGGCTTAATAATTTTAGTAGCCAGACTTTCATGTTGGCCTCAGAGCCACCTACATTTAGGTAACTCTCTTGGAGGAGCTTTATCATTTCCTTATTCTTCTCAACAGGATTATGAAAAATATTGGATGCAGTTGTCAGAAATCTACTAATGACTACATTCTTGAATCCCAGCTCTTGAAAGAACTGAACATTGAGCTTTAGGTTCTCCTGGTTCTTAACAATAAAGAAAGATTCTGGAAACTGCTCTATTAACTTGACTAACTCTTCCTCGTTTTTGCAGACCAACTGCCAGAGTTTTCTCTGGGTGTCAATAGCAGCTGGACTACAGACAATTGCTTCTGGGCAGCGTTCCAAAATACTGGCTATTACAGCCTCATCAGCACCTAGTTCTTGTAAAATATTTGCAACTTCTTCAACATAGGTTTCATCCTCCAGAAGTACCCATCCTTTTAAACTTCGAATTTTCCTAATGTCAACTGAAAATTTATAGAGCGTTTCCACTGTTCTTTTATTTTCTTTGTTTGACTGCCTGTCTGTTGTAAAGTATGCTAGAAAGGGTTTGTATTTTGGAGTTGATTGCATCTTTCTGAAAAAACACAGCCTGCAAGGCTGTGATCTCACCAGCAACTTCCACAACATGCCTGTAATCCAGTGGCTACTTCCCACAGTCCTGGGACTCAGAATGCAGCCAGTGCACCTATAAGAAAGAAGATAGAGGTTTTTAATGTAAGAAGTGTTGACTTTTAGAACATAGACACTAACAGKTTAGTTCTAAGTAGTAAGTGTAGAAATAAAATGGTTTTACATTAGGAAAATTACTCGTGGAACATTTAAATATTCTTTTAGATGAACATCTTTCTACATTGTCTGTCTGAGATTTATTACAACCTTGTGAAGTAGTTACTTCTGCTTTGCAGATCACCCATATCAAGACCACAAGAGGTGGTAAGATCCCAGCCCTGCAGGCTGTGTTCTTTCAGGAAGATGCAATCATACTCCAAAATTCAAACTCCTGGGCCTCAAGTTTTTTTTTYCCCCACACAAATTTTCCTTCCTACAACTGTTGTTTTCTTGTAGGAGACACACATTACACACACAGACACACACAAACACTGAAATGTTTTCTGTTTTTCCAGTTGATTTATCATAACAAATCCAAATGACTCTTAGGAAAGAGTCATTTCTAATTTTGTATTTTAGAGTAAATATTTTTGTTGAACAGCTACCATACAAAATAAGTCAGTTTATTTTAAATTAGTTAATAAATATATGCTTGTTTTATTAGAATCATGTGAGTGAAATTTCTTTTATAAATCCAGAATTAAAATAAATCTTGGCCAGGAAAATGAGAAGTGCCACATGACTGCCTTAGTGGGGCCAGGAGAAACTGCCAGCTGTGGAATGGTGGCCACATTTTAAACCAGTCTTGCCAGCTATTCCCACTGGATGCTTTTGGGTAGCATGAGATGGCTACAGTGCATCTGATACACTGCAGCCTTTGCCACTGCCAGTTGGCCACACTCCACCTCCATCTCCTTAGGGTCTCGCTGGGCCCAAGAATTAAACTGACATAAAATAGATTAACTGGAGAAAACAATAGAGATTGATTTAATACAAGTTTTACATTGCATGGGATTCATCATAAGACCCCAGGAAATAGTATAGAGTTAGTTATGCTAAACTGGGCAAAGAATAGTACACTATGAAGAAACAACCAAATTGTGTGAGGGGATTTAAAGAGTTATCTTAATAAGATCTGCAGAGAATTCTTTCAGTCTCCACTTCCCATCTGAGGATAAGGATGCCAGTTCCTCTTGGTGGAGGGAGGGTGCCTTTCACATGGGAGGATCATCTGCTTTTAAGAAACAGAAAAGAGGTCAAACAGCTCCTGCTGTTTGTCAAGTGTCTTTAATTCAAAACAGCCAGTACTTCCCAGTGTGGTCTATTCTTTAACTCCTTCACCACTGTTTCTTTTGTCTGTAGTAATGAAAACACACCTGGTTCTGAGAGTGTTCCTGAGTATTTCAGTCCTGCCAGGAGAGCATGTTGTACTGGGCTACTTGACTGGTTTGTAGCTTCCAGGAGTATTGGTAGGTTTGAAGAGAAAGCTCGAAAACAGATGTTTCTAATCCCTGCCCTATCTGCTGAGGACTCCTGACCTTCAAGGTTATCATAACAAATCCAAATAAATGATTATTCTATAAGGAAAAATAAGAAGGTTTCCATTTTCATTTGCCATCTGTAATGACAGCTCACCGTTAGTACCTATGGAGACTAAAACAACTATGGGCGTAGCTTTTGTTTTACTTTTGGTGGTTCAGTCTCCCCCGCCCTCCCCCCCATAATTCCTAGTGCTATTAGCCAAGATGAAAACAATGAAGTGTTTTTTTAAAAAGTCTAAGAAAACCATCAATTTTAACAGAAGGTGGAAGCACAGGGCTGGGGCCTGCCTTCCCACTCCCTGCTCATGAGACCCTGCTAGTTTTGGCCCCACCTTTGAGGTTCTGCAGTCAACTGCCAGTACCTAGCCCTGGCTCTAACTTAGGGAGCCATCATGGTCATTTAGCACAAACCACAGTAATGGTTTGAGCAGTGCTTCATGCTCTATGAGTATTAATAACAATAATAATTGTAATGTGGAAAAAACAGCATCTAAACATCACAGGGAGACCGGGAGGGTTAAAACGCACATCAACTACTTTGCACAGTGACTGTACATATTAAGTACTTAATACATGGTAGCCATTACTAGAAATTTCTGGAGCCAAAGTCTTATACTAATATGACTTTTAAATGTTTAGATAGAAGTACATTATTTATAAAGGACAACTGAAAACTGTACTTTAAATGCTTCAGGTTTCCAAAATAACTGTATAAAATCAATACACACTCTGCACAAGTTGCCACATTCTGAAAAGTCAGAAAAGTCTCATGATCCCATTACTTAAGAGACAACTGTTCATATTTTGACATCTCTGTCCACTTTTTTCCCTATATTTCTCTCCTTTTATTATAATTCTTCAAATATATGAAGCAAGGCTGTCTGGCACCTGGGCATTATGTCCTGGATTCAGCATATAAAGTGAAAATTGCAGATTCAGAAGCCCCTGGCCAGTCCAATACAGCTAGGGTTCTTCAAGGGTTTGAAAGATCCTGTTGTCTGCTAAGCACTGGATGAAGCATTGACCTGGTCTGAGGGTTACACTGTTCAGAGTGATAGATCCTAAACACTGGAGCCACAGTGACCATGTGAGGTGCTCCCATGGAGAGGCTCCTGCCAAAGGAGGCTAAGAGAAAAACTCTTGCATTTTGTTTACTCCAAGGTGATTTAGGATGTGTTCAGGTGAGTTGTCAGAAAAATCAGTTATCTATTTTGCTTTTTCTCTACTGAGCAAATGCTGGACTGTAAAAATGAAAAGCACAAATGCTATGATTAACTATTATATATATGATTTATTTTCTGCTTTAATTTTACCTGCTGTTAAGTATTTCACTGTGATATTAAAAACACTCTGTAAACATTTAAAATGAGTGCATGATATATGGGGTGAATTTATTATTATTTATAATTCATTCCTAATATTGAGCACTTAGGTTATTTGTAGTTTTACTATATGCTGAATATCTTTGCACATTTTATATGTTTTTCCTTTAGTATGAATTCCTAGAAACAGAATTTCTGGAGAGGATATGTGTAAACATTTGAAAAGTGATGTTAAATTTACTGTCTTTGTGTTTGATTTATTTTGCTTACCGTATGTTTTCAAAGTTCATCCATGTTATAGCAAATGCTGGAACATAGCACTTAATTTTAAGTAGTATTATTCCTGCTGCTTTTATGCATCAGATAAACAGATAAAAATTCATTTATATTTCTGTTTGAGTTTGAAAAGTTAGCTCCTATAGTTCATTTGAAATTTCTGCATGTTAGCTAAACTAYTGATATTCAGATTCTCAGTTATCTCCAAGTATTTTTGGGAACAATCTTTTTTCCTTTCCATGATTTCTGATATATCAAATGTAGCTTTTCTTTTTAGATGGTCTCCCTCTCCATCCTCCTAAAAAAATATTTAGTCCCCTGAACGGGCCAGGGGCTCAACAGTTCTGGCCTTTGTCTCATACTTGGCTCCTCTGCTAGACCAGCCTAAAACAGTCTCTGGTCAATTCCTTCTTCTGCTCCTCCCACTAACAATCTCAGATCTCCAACCCCTAGCCTCCGTTTATCTCTGTTCTCCCATCTCAACTAATGCCCTTGACTCTTAACTGTACAAAGAAAGAAGAACAACTCACCACACCAAACAAATCTACACCAAGTCCCTTCCCTAGAGCTGTGCCTTTCATTTCCACTTCTGTGCTGATCCCAACCCCTATGGCTTCAGAACTCCAAAGCCTTTATTTCTCAATCAAGATATTTATTGAAAGTATGAAGCAAATGTCACAATAAAATGAGTCACACTTTTGGTTTCCTAGCACATACAGAAGTTATGTTTACACTACACTGTAGTCTTAAGTGTGCAATACCATTACTTCTAAAAAATTATGTACCTTAGTTTAAAAATACCTTATTGCTAAAAAATATTAACAATTGCCTGAGTTCAGCAAGCTGTAATCTTTGATGGAGGATCTTGCCTCTGGGATGCTGCTGGCTGCTGACTCAGGATGGCAGTGAAAGTTGGGGTGACTTTGTCCATTTCTTACAATAAGACCACAATGAAGTTTGCCGCACCGACTGACCCTTTCATAAAAGATTTCTCCGTAGCACACAATGCTGTTTGATAGCATTTCACCCACAGAACTGTTTCTTCTCAAACCCTGCACTGCTTTACCAACTACATGTGTGTGCATCCTTACTCCTTTGTTGTCCTTTCAACAGTGTCCACAGTGTCTCCACCAGGAACAGGTTCAATCTCAAGAAACCACTTTCCCATCTCAGTCAAAAGAGGCAATTCCTTATCTTTAAGGCTTTATCATGTCATTGAACAAATCAGTCACAATGTCAGGTTCCATTTCCCATTCTACACCTCTTGTTATTTCTACTATACCTGCACTTACTTCCTCCCGTTAAGTCCTGAACACTTAAAAGTCACCCACAAGGGTTGAAACCAACCTCTTCCACATTTCATTTTCAACTCCTTTTAATGTTGATACTTTGACTTCCTCCCATGATTTGTGAATGTTCTTAATGGCATCTAGAATGGTGCATCCTTTTCAGAAGGCTTTTCAATTAACTCTGCCCACATCCATAGGGGAATCACTATGGCAATGATAGCCTCATGAAATGTAATATTTGGAAGTAAAAATTACTCCTTGATTCATGGGCTTCTGAATGGATCATGTGTTGGTAGGCATAAAAATATAACAATCTTGCACATCTCCATCAGAGCTCTTAGGTGACCAGGTGCATTGTTAGTGAACAGTAATTTTTGAAGGGAATCTTTTTTTTTTTTTTTTTCCTGAGCAGGTCTCAATATTGAGCTTAAAATATTCAGCAAGCCATACTATAAACAGAAGAGCTGTCATCTGGGCTTTGTTGTTCATTTATACAAGATGGGCAGGGCAGATTTAGTCTAATTCTTGAGGACTTTGGGATTTTCAAAGTGGTAAATGAGCACTGTCTTCAACTTAAAAATAAAGTTCATCAGCCCCCAATAAGAGTCAGCCTGCCCTCTGCAGCCAGGGACTGACTTCTCGTTTATGAAAGTCCTAGAAGGTATAGTCTATAAGGCTGTTCCATCTACACTGAAAATATTTTGTGTAGTGTAACCACCTGCATCAGTTACTTAGCTGGATCTTCTGGCTAACTTGCTACAGCTTCCCATCAGCACTGGCTGCTTTTCCTTGTACTTTCCTGTTATAAAGATGACTTCTAGAATTCCTGACCCCATGAGCCAATTTCTGCTACCTACAAAGTTTTCTTCTGCAGCTTCCTTCATCCTCAGTTTTCACAGAATTGAAGAGTTAAGGCTTTGGTCTGGATGAGGCTTTGGTTTAAGAGGCTTTTTGGCTGGTTTGACCTTCTCTTCAGACTTCTGAAATTGTTTTCCTATCAGTAGAAAGGCTGTTTTGCTCACTGTTCACGTGTTCACTGGAGCAGCTCCTTCAGTTTCCTTCAAGAACTTGTCCTTTGCACTCACAACTGGGCTAACTGGCAAAAGAGGCCTGGCTTTGGCCTGCCTTAGCCTTTGACATACCTTCCTCACTAAGCTTAGTTATTTATAGCTTTTGATTTAAAAAGTGAGAGACATGCAGTTCTTCTTTTCACTGAACACCTGGGGGACATTTTAGGGTTATTAATTAGCCTATTCAATACTGAAGTATCTCAGAGAAAGAGGAAGCTTGAGGAGAGAGAGAGACACAGGGAATGGGGATTCCTTTTCAGAAGGTTGACGGAACAGTCAGAAAAAGTGTTTATTAAATTTGCCATCTTTACAGTGTTAGAGTTCATGGCACCCCCAAACAGTCACAACAGCAGTGTCAAAGATCACTAATTACAGATCACCATGACATATAAAATAAAAAAGTTTGAAATGTTGCAAGAATTACCAAAATGTGACACAGACACAGGGAGTAAACACATGCTATCAGAAACATGGAGCAAACAGACTTGCTGCTTGAAGAAAGGTTGTCACAAACCTTTAAATTATGAAAGGAAAAAAATGAACAAAAAACCAAAAACAAACACAAACCCCCGGCCCCTATGCAGGTCCCCCCCCCAACACCACGGCAGCGCACCCTCCGCCCTTCTCACTGCTCCTGGAGAGCACATCCCACCTTTCCTTTCCTCCAGTGAATTCTTGCAGATCCTCTACTTCCTCTTCTACTTATTTAGCTCTCAATAAAGACAACTTCCATGTGATAGGACCCATGAGTAGCTGCACAGCCTCTCTCTCTTGATCTCGGCAGGTTTCAGCACAGTTTATCTTTCCCCTCAAAACATTCTCTCATTTGCCTTCTAGGTCCCTCGACTCCCCTGGTTCTCCTTCCCACACCAGAGGCCACCCCTTCTCGTCTCCTTGTAGGCTCATATTCAAGGTTTGCTTCTCAACCTTCTCTTACCTTTTAGTCTCTCCCTAGGGCTTCAGTTAATCCATTTGGGCTTCTCTCCAGCTTTTCTTGTCACTTGCGTGCATGACTTTTTGATGGCACTTTAGGATAAAGACAAAATAGAAATGGTATACCACAGTCCACAAGGCTCCGCCAGCCCCTGAATCCTCATTTCTCTCTCCCTCACCAACCACACCCACTTCCTCTCCATCCCTGATGCTCTCCCCTGTCCCCACTGCACAGTTTTCAAAGGCTGTTGGCTATTATGTGCTCAAAATGCTTGTCCAATAACTCCTAGGTCTAAGTGTCATTTTCTCAAGGAAACTACCCTGACCTTTGGAATAGATGAAGCTTGCTGTTCCCCTTATCGGCTTTTATGTGCCACAACTGCAGTTCTGCTCCACTTATCATAGCTGCAGCTGTTCATGCACTGTTTGTATACCTCAGAAGGGCCAAGGCTGCTCACTACCATGTTCCAATGGATTGTCCCCCTACCTTTCACATGCTACCATTGTTGACTGTAGGAGGCATTCCTGGGCCTTCCTGTGTGCTCTCCCTCAGTACCCTGCTCTTGACCTTAATGTAGCACTTGTCATACTCTTGTGAGTTCTTCATTCATTCAAAGAGTAAGTTAGTTTGTCTAAATTCAAGCTGTTCGTCAGGTTTCATGCTAGGCACTAACTCTTCTGCTAAAACAACACTTGTTCATGCTTTTCTTGGGATCACATACCATCTGAGAATCTGAGTGTCACAAACTCTCCAGAAAAACAACAACAACAAAAAACACAACACAAAAACCATTCAGACCTACAACATTTTGCGGGATTTATAACCACCTTGTGGCCCAGCCATAAAAAAACCTAAATTTACAGAATTTKGTTCAATTGAAATGGAATGAACAATTCAAGTTCATAAGGCAACTTAATGTAGAGGGTAAAATTGTGAGTTCTTGGAGTCAAACTGACTTGAGTAATATGTGCCTTGGTTTTGGGCAAAGGAAAATGGGGCACTGCTTCCTGGTGATGGAGAAGATTAAACATTTTAAAAATCTGCACACCTTAGAATATTTAAAATATTTGCACATATACTGACTTATTAAATCATCAATACAACCAATTTAAAAAATGAAACACGTGCAGGTAAAGCAGCCTGCCCAAGGTTCCTAGGCTAATAACGCTGACCTTGAATTCAAACCCAACAAACTGTGGGAGTACCCCTCTCAGCCCTGTGCCCTWCGTATGGTTTTGGTGGACAATTCTCTGATGTTTCATGCTTCCTAACCAGTTTTGAGCAGTGAAATCTAGAAAACTTATAATATAGTCCCCTCTATAGCAACACTATTTCCAATTAAGTTCYACTTTTATAACATAACCTGCTGACAGTTCCAAATCGATCCCGATGTTTACATACAAGGAAAAATGAAAGCACGAGAGGGCCTCCTCTCACACTGGGGCCCTCCTTTTCCAGAGCAGCTTAGCGGCGCCGGGCCTTGGCCCAAGCCAGGCAGGGGGTTTCGCGGTAGGCGCCCGGCCACCCGGCTGGTGGAGGGTCACCCCGGGGGCTGTAAGAAGGGGCAACTCACCTGTCAGCGTCCACTCCAAGCAAGGTCCTGGGATTCTGCGCGTCCCTGGCCCGGTCCTTGMTCCCTCCCCAGCCAACCTAAGATCTGCGGTTTTCCGGACTTCCTGAGGCTTACGGCCAGGATCCCGGGTYCAGGGTCCCAAGCACCTCCAGGCAAGCAGCGCTAATCAAGCCACCTCGCCCCTTTGCCCGTGGCCAATCAGAGCTCGGGAAACTGGTTCGCCTGTAGCCACGCCCCAGTGCCCCGATGCAGCCAATCAGAGCGCGGGACACAGGCTAAGACTCCTCCCCCACGCCGCAAAGGGCAGCGAGGTGGAGGTGCCAGCGTGGGAACCAGCTTTTCAGGGAACTGTGCCTATAGCCACAGAGATTGCATGTGGCATCTTCATACCCTTTCCTTCCTAGCCATTTTAAGGAACTTGAAATTCCAGTCACTTTGCTCCTTAGTGATCGTCACTGACCCATAAGAAAAAAGGTAGAATTAAAAAACTGTTTTTAAGATACAGCCATTCAGAATTCTCAGGATGTTTAAAAAAAAAAACCCCACAAAACCCAAACTTCTCTGAAACACCCCCCAGCTCTCACCCTATCCCAGCAGTTGGTGACCCTGTGTCCTGAAAAGTCATCCATCCCTTTTACCCTGCCTGATGCCTTCTCCAAAACGCTCTCCTTTTCTGATGACCTGCATTGATTACTTGTGAAGCCCAGCCTCATACCCGTAACACATTAATTTCTTCTTAAAGCCAGGCCCAGCGTCTTCACCAATTCTCATATGCATCCAATTAAATATATTTATGGTATGCCTATTAAGTGCCAAGCATGTGATACAGCAATGAGAAGACAGTGGTACACAAGGGGAAATAAAATGTATCCTAACGGAATATAAAAACATTAACGACTAATAACACGATTAATCACCATTAGAGTTGAGTGCTACCGAGGATAGTGCCCTGACTCTGGCCTAGTTGTTCGGTTTGTATGGAGGCTGAGTCAGGAACACATGGTTTCCCAGGTGGATGATCTGATTGCTACACTGTGCCCAGTTCTGTTCTTTCAGACTGCCATATCACCTAAGGAATGAGCTCCTTTAGTACTAGTTATTTTCCTTTAAACAATGCGTGGCACACAATAGGTACTCAAATTGAGTGTAGCCTTAGCATGCAGTTTATATTCAACAGGCTTTATTGAGAGAAACAGATCCTTGGACATTAACATCATTGAGTGGCAGCAAGAAACCTGGCTCCTGATCTCAAAATCAACTCTGATCTCCAGGATATTCTACAATTAACTGAGCAGTTAACAGATGTCAGTAGGATGCAGAGGGTTCTTGTTCAGCAACACTTCTGCCTCTGACTCTCTTACATAAAAACTCTTATTGTTCATTACCTGCTTCTTGAAATATAAGATTTGGGGTTTGAATTAACCAAATGTTATTTGCACTTAGGAAGTATAGTAGGATACAGAAAAGAGAAGGAAGTTAAACATTAGCTCAGGATTTACATCTACATGCTATGATCTCTGGAGGAGAAAAATGTGCACCAGGGGGCTGGAAGCTTACACTAGAACTCCCTCTGATGGTGTGAGGAATGGTAATTGTGTGCACTGCAATCAAAACTTGAAAATGACCCAGGTCTGTAATCCCAGCAGCTTGGGAGGCTGAGGCAGGAAACTCACAAGTTCAAAGCCTGCCTCAGCCACTTATGGAAGTTCTAAGCAACTCAGTGAGACCCTGTCTCTAAATGAAATACAAAAAAGGGCTGGGGATGTGGCTAAGTGGTTAAGTGCCCCTGGATTCAATCCCATGTACCAAATAAAAAACAATAACAACAAATAACACTTGAAAATGACCAATTCAGCTAGCTACACCAACTATATTAAATGCTACCTAAAGTTTTCTACCCCAAATGTTTAAAACAGCACATTTCCTGGACCATACAATCAGGAGTGGGGTGGACCAAACCCTTAGGTGGAGAAATGAGGAAAAGAAATTATCATGCACATTACCTTCAGAAATGACAAACATGTTTTAATTATGGGAAGATTCTGATGTTTCTAGCATGTCTGGGATGCATGAAAAAAAAAAAAATGAAGCCTGGGAATGTAGCTCAGTGGAAAAGGCTCAGGGGTGGAGGTGATGATTTTTTTACATCTCACATTTACTAATTAAAGCAAACAWGAAAAACATCAGGACTCTGCATAGGTTTGTTAAAAAACCTGGCTCCCTCAACTCAGTTTTTTGAAGTTGTTGCACAGTTCTTGGTAATAAGAACTCAACAAGTATTTGCAAATAAATAAAAGGTCTTAAACTGGCAGGATTTCTAGATCACTAGCCCTTTAGTTAGGTGGAAAGTACTGTATTTAAATGCATCTGCTTAACTGGATCACATGGATTGACGTCACTCTTTCCCTTTCAGAGATTCCTTTTAACCATGATTTAGACCAAACTGAAAATGCTTAAAAAAAAAAAAATCTCTTAAAAAAGCAAAACAAAATTACCTATTATAAGTCAAAATAGTGTTCGATTATTAAAATGCTTATTTACTCCCAGTAAAACTGGATCTTTCTCCCAGATGTGATGAGAAATCCCACCCAGGTCTGAGTTTCTCAATTTTGCACAGTACAATTAGGTCCATAGAGTGGGATGTGAAGTATAGTTATTGTGAAAACAATTAAAATATGACTCTGTTTTTAACAGGGTGAAAAAAGAAAGATAATGCACAGGCTTTTTTCTTTTTTTTTCAGTAATGGAATTTATTGATCACTGTCAGTTCATTATCCAGTATATTTTTAAAAATGCATATCATCTATGCATTGATTTATTATTGTTTCTGCATTTTGACTGAAATTTATCTTTACTAACCTTTAAATACAATTAATTGTAGTGAGTATTTGTCACTACTGAAGATGCAAAAATAAAGTCACTGATTATAATTGAGAACAGTAAGAACCAGCCTACTAGAGAACAGTAAAGGGATAATAGCAATGGTAGTAACAATAATGGCAGCTAACCAGAGCTGTGGCACATGGCCATGTAGACTGTGTACTGTAAGGTCCAGGGAGCTATACAATATGGCCACCCTTCAGATAACATACATCGAGTACCTTACCACACACTAAGCGCTGATATGAGCATTTCACATGGAACTGAAGAATGAAGCCGATACTACTCTCATCCCTATTTTATAGATGAGAAAAAGAAAGGCATAGAAGGTTAAGGTCTTGCCCACGATCTCAAAGTTAATAAGGGCATGGCCAGGCATTAGACTCCAGAACCCACACTGTTGTCCTATATAGCCTGACTTATAAACTCCAGTATGTGAAATGATCCCTTTGTTTCTAAATCTTTCTTGCATATAATTTTGAAAAACTATTGTTTTACTGAAAATCTGGTATCAGCTCCATCATTCAAAATAGTGACATGTGGTTGAATATCATCTGTGTCTGTAATTTGCAATCATATCTCATAGGCCAAAGCTCTTTCCCTTACCATAAACAAACAAAAAAAGGGATTGAGGAAAGAAATAAACCCACCAAGTACACAAGATTCCATATTTGCATATACTTTAATAACAAAGTCACTTTAGCTGTAAATGAACAAAGACAGAGAGACAACACATGATTCTTCTACAAATTTGGGTCAAAACAGGCATACGTGAAGCTTTAAGACATATATTTTCTGTGTTAACAGAGACTACACATATTAATTTTGATTATGCATATTTTCTAAAACATTATTATGAAAGAGTGCAAAGTCAAACAATAATGTCAAAAAAATTTTGTCCTAAAATTTTAACAAAGCATTTTAAGAAAGTCTAAAAACCTGTTTTCTCACATTGATTCTCAAAACTTTGAGTTGTATATCAGAATATCAATTTGCAACTTAAACTTTTACCATACATGAAAGATTATCAAAAATATATTGATGGGTCTATACTAATTGTGACTATTTATATTTACATTAAGCAAATTCTTTTACCAAGTTCTTTATATACAAATTACCACCTGCCCTATGTGAAATTCATCAAAAAGTTAAAAAACACAGAAATATCATTAGAAATAATGCACTCAAAATGTAACTGCTTTCCATCAATGAAGAACTTTTTAAATAATTTAATTGAAAAGTACTGAATTTCCCAGCAATTTCAGCTGCAACCATATTCTTCCTGAATGTTATCTGTGATTTAAGGRGGAAAAAAACTGAGTAAAGCTTGATTGCAAAGAACTAAAGAATTTGATAAGAATTCAATTGGTGTTTACTTATATCAAGAAATTTATAGTCTAAATAGATTTGTATAAAAATTGATAAAAAACAATGAAGAAACAAAGTCTAATGAAGAAACAAAGTCTTTAAAAACTGACAAATGTACCATATAAATAACTTCCATATTAATTTAAATCACAAAACAGTATCCCAAATCCAATTAAACTGAATGCAGGCATGGCATTTGATTCTTTTTTTTTTTTTTCAATTCTTCTAAAAAGGCTAGCATTTTAAAAAAAATTAAACTAATGGGAAAGAATTTAGATTTTATGGGCTGGGGTTGTGGCTCAGTGGTARAGCACTTGCCTAGCATAAAGGTCCATCAACATCTATAAAAAAAAAAGAATTTAGATTTTTATGAGCAGATAAAGAATATTTTACAACAGATAAAGAATTATTCATCAATATTCAAAAGGCAAAACTTGGGGGTGTTTTTTACATCTCACATTTACTAATTAAAACAAATATGAAAAACATCAGGACTCTGCATAAAGGTATTATATTAATAATATAATAAAGGTATTATATTAATGCCATTAAAATAAAGAGGCCACTTAATTGTTTTAGACTCATAGTCATATATCATAGGAAAGAAATGAAAAAGTCATCTTTTTCCAAGATAAAACTTGACCACAAAATCATGAGCTTTCAAATTGAAAGATCATTGATTCAGATGACCATGAGTGGTGCAGTACTTTGTCCTGAATAGATGCTTCTCTCCTGTCCAATAATTAACTGATTTTATAATGATCGTTTAAGAATTTATGCCTCAAGATTTTCTGGTTTAAAAACAGAAATGAGTTCCATTTGGAAATTATCTTGTTTTTTATGTTAATTATATTTTCTTTTTATTCATTTTAGATATACATGACAGTAGAGTGTATTTTGAATTAATTATATAATTCTAAAGCAAGAAATAAAGCTATAAAGTATTTACCTAATTAGTGCTCTGTCTCTGGACTTTAGGACCAATACTCTGTGTGTCCTCTTCCTGACTAGGACGTTTCCCACTGCTGAGACCAGTGCCCATGGAGCTTCTTCCTACACATTTTAAAAAATGTACATTTAAGATAGGAAAGATGAAAATCATAGTGTGCTTGAATGCTTCTTTCTTACCTTGCTTTAACAGGTGAGTTTGCTGACTGTCTCCATGAGCATTATGTAAAATACTACTCCCTTGAGTACAACCTGTTTATTTAACACAGTAAAATGACTTAAAATAAAATCCAAGATGTAGGTAGAAAGACTACAGATTCAAATTTTACTTTTTGTATCTAAGTTCATTTATAAAGTTTTCACAATGCTCCCTATAAATCAAAGATCACATGCCTAAATCAGGGATATTTAGGCTTATAGAATGTTGAGRGTTGAAAGGCAAAATCACTAATGATCATTTTCTAAGAAACATTTTTTTTTAACCAGATGACAATTAAAAACTTGACTATGAAGGTGAAACACAGGGGCAATGTAAGATAGACAACCTTCCTTTTTCCTGACACTTTCTTCCACATTCTTCCTTCAGAGCCCCTCCAAAGCATATTTAATTGGAGATAAACGAATAAGGGCCTGCCACAAGGGAGCTAAACAATTCAAATCATACAAAGAGGGGCAGATACAGACTAGGTATGAGCAATCCTATCAAGACTTCCAAAAAGTGTTAGCAGCATGGGTTGCCTAGCATAGAAAAGAACATTTTGGAGAAATATTTTTGTTGGTGTGTCCAGTAAGGAAAATGTGAGCATTTTGGCACCTGAATATGTCATCTTATGACCTGAACAAGACTACTTATTTTTACTTTATTATCTAAAATATTTTTGGATAAAGAGTTCAGCTTTTCAGGTACTCAAAACTAGGAAAATGGGGTTGGGGATATAGCTCAGYTGCTAGAGYGCTTGCCTAACATGCACAAGGCCCTGGCTTCAATCCCCAGCACTATAAACAAACAAAAAACCTTGCCTTGGGTCATGAGTGAGACTTCATATCCCTGGAAGAGATATCTCTACCATATATTAATAAACATTTAAATTCACATTATTTTAAAATTTGTAGTCTGGCATTCACAGAATGGTCATCTGTAATTGTACTGAAAACATTCAATATTTGGACTTGTAAGGCTGAAGTTCAGACTCTGGATGATGGTAAATTCACTAGTCAATGTGCTACTCCAGGTCTTACCATCTGTGGGGTTTCCCCTAATAATGATACCTACACCACAATGTAGTACTGTGTAATATTATTTAAAATTACTTCTTTTCCTTAGTTTTAATTGGTACATTATAGTTGTACATAATAGTAGGATGTGTTTCTACATAATTTGTACATGCACACAGTATAACAACATAATTTGGTCAATACCATTCTCCAGTATTTCTCCTTTCCCTTCCCCCTCCTTCTGGCCCTTCTCCAATATTCAACTGATTTTGAGATTTCCCCGCCCGGCCCCACACCTTTCTTTTCCTTTTTCCTCTCTAGCTTCCACACACAGGAGAAAGTATATGACCCCTGACCATCTGAGATTGGCTTATTTCACTTAACATAATGTTCTCAAATTCTATCCACTTTCCTGCAAATGACATAATTCCATTTTTCTTTATAGCCAAATAAAATTCCATTGTGTATATATAACACATTTTCTTTACCTATTCATCTGTTGATGGTTACCTAAGCTGGTTCCATAGCTTGGTTCTTTTGAATTGTGCTGCTATAAAATGGGTATGCATATATCACTATAGTACGATTTAATTCTTTAGGATAAATACCAGGGTATGGCATGGCTGGGTCACATGGCATTTTCATTCCTAGTCTTTTGAGGAATCTCCATACTGATTTCCATAGTGGCTGCGCTAATTTACAATCCAACCAACAGTGTAAAAATGTTTTTTTTTCTATACATCCTTTCCAGCATTTATTATTGTTTGTTATTCTTGATGGTTGCCATTCTGACTGGAGTGAGTTGAAATCTCAGTGTAGTTTTGCTTTGCATTTCCCTAATCACTAAACCTGTTGAACATTTTTTCATATATTTGTTGGCTATTTGTATTACATTATTTAAGATTTCACACCAACTATATGAATACACTTAACTGCCACTGAACTGTACACTTAAAAGTGGATAAAATGGTAAATTTCATAACAGAATAAAAAAGTCAACAAAAACATTTCTGATTACTGTATTTACTTATGACATATACATTTTATTTATTTATATCTTACACATATTACTGAGAGCCTGTTAATTCTTTGGACTAGACCAGGTGCTAGAGATATAAATATCACTAAGACATAGAGTCTATCTTAAAGACTCACAGTCTAGGAAGATTAGATAGATAATAAAATCACTAAGTACAAATAAGTATTATTAGGTGCAGGGACAGAGTTTGATACAGGACAATGGTGACTGAGGAAAGAAAGGTCAGTTCTGGAAGACTCTTAGAGGTGGCTCTCAGGACAAGTCATAACTAGTCACCTTGGTTTCATTTTCTCAAGTTAATTCCATTCCTTTGCCCAGTAGTGAGATAAATGAGAACTGTTAACAAAATATTGAGAGAGCAGCCCAATAAAAAAAAGAACACAAACTAGACGATTCAACTTTTTTTAAAGTTTAAAAAATCACAGACAAAATAATAGTATTAGAAATCAGGAAAACTATTACCTTTGGGGAAGAAGAGAGAAATTAGTAAGTTCAAAAAATACATTGGGAATTTCCTTAAGAGACCATTTTATTTCTTTGGAGTGCTACATGATCAGCAGGTATGTCAGGCCTCCAAATTCCCCCCAAATTCAAGAACACCACTGTAACTGTCACTTCTTCATAAAATGTGGTAAATTATATTTTCTACAATGCAAGAAACAATAAGTAAAGAACAGAGCTTTGCTGGTCAATTAACTTGCTATTAGCTTAGTCACAAAAATCACGAATCTCCATATTAATGTCTTGAGCTAAGAGTATACAAGATAGGAACTCTTTTTTTCTAGACTAAAAGTAACATTTATTTATTTATAATAAAATAATATTCATTGTTTCTTTTAAAGTTCTATGAGGGAAAGAAGTTTACCTGATCATTTCCCCCTTATTTTAGGTTACCAATAGCACCAAAAGGAATTTTAACTTTAAAAGTTCTGACTTAAAAATTAGTATGAGGGGAAAACTTCATAAGAAGATATTTAAAGGAAAAATGCAATAAAATTTTAATAGTGATTGTCTCTAGTAGCTGGAATTATGGGTGATAGCTGTTCATCTTTTCTAGTGTTTTTTTTTAAATTCTCTATTGCAAATAATCATTTTAAAAAAACAGCTTTGAGGTATAATTCACATAACCATAAAATTTACCAATATTAAGTGTACAATTCAGTTATTTTTTAAAGTTAACTTTCACCAAAGTTGTGCAACCATCACTACAATCAGTTTTAGAACATGTTCCATCTCCCCCAAGAGATCCCTACTGGCATTTATTCCCCAATCCTATATTGAAGCCCAAGGCAACATCTAATCTAGTTTGTCTCTGAGGATTTGCTATTTCTGAATAGTTCATATAAATGGAATCATGCAGTATATGGTCTTTCATGTCTGGCTTCTTTAATAAAATGTTTTTGGGTTTCATACATGTTGGCATTTTATTTCTTATCATGAATAATATTCCATTGTGTGGCTATATTACCYCAGACACGTGTAAGTAAAGTTGATATAAACAATCATTTATAAGTCTTTGTAGCTGGGATGGTGGTGCACGCCTGTAATCCCAGTGGCTCAGGATGGTGACAGAAGGATTGTGAGTTCAAAGCCAGTCTTAGCAAAGGTGAGGCACTATGCAACTCAGTGAGACTCTGTCTCTAAGTAAAATACAAGATAGGCTAGGGATGTGACTCAGTGGTTGGGTGCCCCTGAGTTCAATCCTGGGTACCCCCCGCCAAAAAAAAGTCATTTCTTTTGATACTTACAAACAAATTTTCTGGTTTGTACAAAAGATTTATATGTGGCTTTTTAAGAAACTACCAAACTGTTTTCCTAAAGTGCTAGTACTGTTTTATATCCCATTTCTCAGGAAGGGTTCCAGGGTTTTTCTTTTCTTTCTTTTCTTTTCCATCTCCCCCAAGAGATCCCTACTGGCCATTTCCTTTCATTCCCCAATACTACCCTGAAGCCCAAGGCAACCACTATTCTAGTTTGTCTCTAACTATTTGCCATTTCTGCTTCATAACATCTGGTGTTCTTTTTAATTTAGCCATTCTAGGAGTATACAGTGACCAACTTGCCCCAGTTTGCCTGGCATTTTCTAGGTTATAGCACTGAAAGTTCTGTGTCCCAGAAAATTTACCAATTCTAGGCAATCAGTGACAGGTGGTCACTAAGTCGGTGTAAAGAACCACCTCACAGCTGGGCAGGGTGGCATATGCCTATAATCCCAGTGGCTCAGGAGGCTGAGGTAGGAAGATTTTGAGTTCAAAGCCAGCTTCAACAATTTAGCAAGGTGCTAAGCAACTCAGTGAGACCCTGTCTCTAAATAAAATACAAAAAAAGTGCTGGGGATGTGGCTCAGTGGTTAAGTGCCCTTGGGTTCAATCCCTAGTACCAAAACGACAACAACAGGAGCAACAAATTTTAAAAAACCCGAAACAAGGGGCTGGGGTTGTGGTTCAGCAGTAGAGTGCTCGCCTTGCATATGCGGGGCCCTGGGTTCAATCCTCAGCACTACATAAAAATAAAATAAATGAGATAGAAATATTGTGTCCAACTACAACTTAAAAAAAAAAAACCAAACAAACCACCTCACAATATTTAATGTTTGTATTTCTCTAATAATGCTGATGAACACAGWTTATAGTAAAAAATTTAAAAATAAAAACTAAAACACCTTGCTATAAGAAACAGATTGTGATTTATTTTACTATAAAAACACAAATACTTTAAGAAATCTATGTATAGTTTGTTCCTTTCCTGAGTTCAATACGTATAAAAATGAGAGAAGAAAAATGAAACAGTATTACAGAGACTAAGAATTTTTCAGTTATTTAAAAACCTAAACTAAATCATAAACAATCTTGCCCTTTGATGTGCCTTGTAAGGCACTGTAAGATAGAAACTTACAGACAGGTAAGTGTAGGGCATACGCTTCAGAAGCACATAAGTCCTTTCAAATGGAGGAGAAACTTCAGAGGAGAAAAGGTTAATTAATACTATAGTCCAAATCCCCAGGATCTTTCCACAGCCACTGCTATTCCTAGGTCTGAATGTTCTCCTTCACCCTCCTACTCAAATGCTACCCATACCTACCATGCTACAGGACAGTTTCTCTAGTCCTTTCAGCCCCTGTTGATCTCGCTCCCTTTTCTCTTATTGCCAAGTGGAGGCAGCATCTTACAATTTATCACTTTCTTTCATTTGTTTTTGTTTTCCCTACATGTGCCCATTCAAACTGTAAGCTCCAGTTACCCAGTTTTTATAGCTTTTGGGTCTTTGGAAAGGCCAATAGAACTCAGCTCCAACATGTGTTACAGGTTAAGTATTTACAAGACAAGAATAATCTCAAGATTTATTATTTTTTTATAACATCACAAACTACCTTATAAATTTGTGAAACAAAATGATCYCAATTTAACTTGCTACCATGATTAACATTAGATGACAACTCCAAATAAAGGATAGATTTCAGTAAACTTCTAAGAAGCAGTACATCCAACCACTGTCCATTATCCAGGCATCGGGAACCTACTGGTTCCCGTCCCTCTGCCCCCTGCCTGTCATAATGCTTCATAGAAATTTTGTCCCTCCCATTCAAGTGTAGGCTGACAAGGCAGGCTGTAAACAGAACTAGAGATATGGAAGAACTTTTGAAACGATATATTGTTGAGGTTTCTTCAAACTGTAGAGACCCTGAGAAAGAATATTTCTGAAATACACTGTATCACTGGCAACTATTTGGTAGGTAAATAACACTTTTAGAGGTGACCCACAGATGTAGGAAAGAGTAGGAGCTTTGGGGCTACTCAGATGTGGATCCMAATCTTAGCTCAACTTCTTATCAACCATGGGATCTTGGTTAAGCTACCCTACCTCCCCAGGATAATTTCCCCAACCAAAAAGTGAGGACCTCAACACCAATCCCTTGGAAGGTTATTGTGAATATGTTGGCAAAAATCTACTGCTGGGCACAAGGTGGGCAGTGAAAAGGTGAGTGCTCTTATTCCTTTCTCCCAAAACTAATAAAATATATGCTTTTATAAAATGCAGGATATTTCTGAATTCAGAAAGGTTCATTTTTAAAAAAGATTTATTCTTAATATCAATTTAGAACATGTGATTTTTTAAAAATAAGCATTTCTAAAATATTCTCTTGATTTTAATGAAACTTAGCCTCATGGCATTTTAGGTTAGAGCTTTAGAAAACTGATATCATGATTCAAATTTCCGATATATACTGACTTCTTTACATTATTAATATCATATATATTTAGAATGTATGTGATAACTACACACAATTCATATAGAAGATTATCACAGATGAGGCTTTGTAAGAAAAACCTCATGTATCAAAGGGCTAGAGGCCCTATGTATGTATATGGTCGGTCAATCTTTTGGCTCTGCTCAGAGGGCTGCTGACCTTCTTAATTATCTTATAGCTGATATTCAGCTAAAGAGAATAAAAAATAATGAACATTTGGAAAATATGAGATTTGAGTTTCATTTTACCCTTAAAAATCAATCTCCTGGCTGAAGTACAGCTCAGAGCTSCCACACTCATGCCTAGCATGGATGGCTATGAGTTCAAACCCTGAGCACCACAAAATAAAATAAATAAATGAAAAAAAAAGATCTCATCTGGTTTAAAAGAAGACCTTCAACATGATCTAGTCCATATCTGCTACATGTAATGGTATTTCCCATCTTTAAAATGTCACCACTAGTTTGAGGGGATGATGTATGTATAAATGTGTATGCACGTGTACAAAGAATCTATTACACTAATTTTAGGGACAGATTTTTAAGGATAAAACCATTATAGCAGGATTCAATGAACAATATAACTAATTATTAATTTCTTTATGTTAGTAAATACAGAAATTTCTTAGTTTTTACTTACTTCCACTGCTGCTACAACCTGGGATATTTTCTCCAGGTGCATACCCCATGAGACCTCCATTCCCATTAGGATTAGAAGGTACGGAAGCAAGAAGCCCTAAAGGGGAATAAATTTCCTATTAAATTMTGATCAAGATAAAATTCATGGATAAGTATGTAAATATCTGTTAAAGAACAAATCAAAGACAGTGACACACCTAGTCCTCTATATCGTGAGAGCTGCTGATAGATCTGTTTCATCCTTTCAATATTCAAACGGCTTGCCTCGGCATGGTTCACCATTGGTTTGGGATAATTAACTCCAATCAAACATTTGGCTACCTTCTGAATACCTTCTGGTGCATTCCAGGGATCATAGATATATTTTGCAGGAAAGCCTCTTAGGACAGGTAAATAACGCCTTTTGGGAGAAGGAAAAAAATATTAATAAAATATATTATCAGCAAACTATCACAGATTACTAGCTATCAATATCATTTACATGATCTCTTTACTCTTTATCTCTGCTGCCCATCATTAGCTATTCCACATTGAATAGTAATAATCCTTTATTTACCTGATGTAGTCTCCATTGGGATCTGTTCTTCTACCAAAACCAACAGGGCAATAGCAGTGAAAAAACTGTTGGAAAAAGGAACTACAAGACAGCCACATCCAGCTTCCAGCATTTATGCTCCAGTCTGCATCAAGCAGTAATTCTTCAAATACCTTCAGAAGTAAGAGTAACCAATTAGCATGCACACACGATTCTCAAAGCAAGTATTTTTGAGGTCACTGTAGATCAAAAGTCAAGGCAAAGAAAATCTAGCACAAAATTGTATGATTAAACATTCCAAAGTTAGCTTTCTTGTGTATGTTCTGTAAACTGTTTCAGGAAAAGAAATGTGTTGGTAACATATGTTTAGTAGATTGCTTAAACAGAATTTATTCTTCAGCCTTCACAGTCTTATTGTAGGGAGCAAAAAATTACTTGAGCCACTGATTTTAAAGGATAATAGGATATTAAAAGTAGAGAAAAAGCAGATCATATTCAAGAAAACAAAATGATACCAAATAAATTACTAATTCAAACTTAGATACTTTGTACTTTGATGTAGATAAGGGGAGCACACCCAAATATAAGCGCACCTTAGAAATGTACTAGCACTGCATGATTTCAAATTTTTAAAAAAGTAATAGAAATACTTTTTATGTTGATTGTATTGGTTACATACATGTAAAAACTGATCAAACTGCATACTTCAAATATGCACATTTTAGCTGKGCATGGTGGCGAATGCCTGTAATCCCAGCGGCTCAGGAGGCTGAGACAGGAAGATCGCAAGTTCAAAACCTGTCTCAGCAACAGCAAGGTGCTAAGCAACTCAGTGAGACCCTGTCTCTAAATAAAATACAAAATAGGGCTGGGGATGTAGCTCAGTGGTTGAGTTCCCTAAGTGGAATCCCTGGTACCCCAAAACAAAAAAACACATGTATTATACTTCAATTTTACCTCAATAAAGCTATGGAAAAAACAAACATAAAAAAGAAAGAAATATGCTAGCATTATATAGATTAAATTTCGAATTCCTTAATTTAAAATAAAATGGAATTAAAATAAATGATTTTAATATAAATTTATTAAGTAGGTGMTATGTATCTTCTTCTTGTACAACTTTGTACTAGAAAATAGAGATGGGGGAAAAAAAACAGAATCAGAAATGGTCCTTGGATAGGGAAAATTTATGAAAGGTAAAACATATATGTAAATCCTGCTATGTGTAAGCACAAAATGTAGTATTCTTCACTTTACATAATAGAACTATTACCCAAAAGCTATGATGTTAAATTGAGGTGAAATAATTAATATTTTTAAAATTCATAATATGAATTAGTTTCTTCTAAGAACTCTTGGGTAAATCAACTTTGGAACAGAAATGATCACCTATAAATATATCTGTCCAATAAATCCAGAATGTTAAATCTTAATAGTTCTCTTAACAGCTAGGCTGCTTTAACACTAAAACAATTTTAAGTTTAATCCATTTAACCAATTTTCACCATTCTTCCTGTCTGATTTTACCATTCTGCTCTCAGAATGTGTGCCTGTTTTGTGGGGATTCTATGCATTACCCACACAAAAGCTAGACTGTAGATGGGGTCTATATTAGACAACTTCTAGGATTTTTAAAATAAGATATGGATTCCTTCAAAATATGACCACACTACATTAGCTAGAACACCCACCTTCATTCCTTCTTCCCAGCTTATCCATAGGTCACCTCGTGTGAGGAAGCAAGCAACCGCATGTCTGGCCAAATGGTGAATCCAACCCTCCTGACGAAGCTGTGTCATGATCGCGTCAATCCACGGAAAGCCTGTCCGGCCTTCTGCCCATTTGGCTAAAGCCTCAGGATTCTTATCCCAAGGAATCTGAACACAGATGGGGTTTCCTTCCATTTTATCAAAGCGTGGATTATTTGTTGCTGCTGTATAGAAAAACTCACGCCATAGCAGTTGCCCATAAAGAGAAAGGGGAGGAGAACTGTTCTTCTTTACCTGTGATTAAAAAGCAAGGAAGTATTATCAACAAATTTTTTTAAAAGTATTTTGAAAAATAAGCTCTAATTTTAGATAATACCTTTTTGTAGAGGTCAGTTAGTTTGAAGTAAAAGAGTCGACATGACAAACAGCCAAATCGGAGATAAGGACTGAGTCCAGTAGGGCTAGCAAGTAAGGAATTTGCATTCATTCGAGGTCTTTCAAAGTTTGCCACCCAAGCCTGAAAACATACAGAAAGAATTACATTGATCAAAACTGTCTTCTCCATTTTAAGTGCACAAAATCGAGATTTTTGAATTTAAAAAATTACACAATTCTTGGGAAATAACTTATTATGTCAGTCACAAATGCATGTTTTAATTTAAAAAAAAAAGATTTTAAAAAGTGAGCATTCTTTCATTTCAGCCATTTTGATGTAGCACACATGAAAAACTTTCAAATTCCCAGCAAAGGTAGAAAATACCTTCAATCTGTATTTCTGACACTGAGGGAAAGGTGACATATGGCAGTTTCCCCTTGTCCACAGTTTCACATCTCCAGGTTTCAGTTATTCATGGCTAACCATGGTCAAAAAATATTAAGTGAAAAATTCCAGAAATAAATAACTAATAAGTTTTAAATAAATAACTCAAGTTTTAAATAAACTTTATTATAGTAATTTGTTATAATTATTCTATCATTAGTTATTATTGGTAATCTCTTACTGTGCTTGATTTAAAAATTAAATTTTATCACAGGTATGCATACATAGGAAAAAACAATCTATATAAGGTTTGGTGACATTCGTRGTTATAGGCATCCATTAGGGTCTTGGAATGTATCCCTTGTGAATAGGGGCACTACTATAGAATTCTATTCTCGTTTCAAAGTTATGGTCAAAACTGATAAAAACTTAGGTACAAAGAATGAAGAGGTAGTATGGTAGTAGCCAAAGGAAAATAATCAGGAGAGGAGGGGGAAGGGAATTTAAATACTCAGTTGTTAACTCTTAAACAATTAGCTTTGTGCTATTTTAACTACTTCCATCAATCCTTCAACAGTCTTTATTTATTTTTTTAAAGAGAGTGAAATAACTTAAAATATGTCAGTTTGGAAACATGAGCATGATTATATGATGAGCATGATTATATGATCTACATTATCATACTTTTCTTTCTAAATGCCTTTCCAAACGTGTAAGTGCTTCAGTTTCTCCACCTGGCCACACTGCAGAGGATAAGCCATCTGTATCAAAACCTAAGAAAGAAAAGAAAGGAAGATAAATGTATTATTCTTCTGAAACTAAAATATTTTTTATTTAACAATAATAACTAGGAGAACAAATTCCTCTGCAGAAAATTTGTAAGAACTAATAAAAATGAACTTAGTACCTAGACAGTCCTCCCTCACCTACAAAGGCTATGATGAGTTTTCTATGCTTTAGGATGCATCTTCACGGGTAACATCATCTCACATATTTACAGAATACCTAAAGAATGTACAGATTTATCACTCAGTTTATGGTATCACTTAGTTTATGATCAGTTTTTCCCTTCCTTCCTCCCCCTTCCTGCCCCATTCTTTCTTTTTCTCTTTATCTCTTTCCCTACTAATGCAAAATACTTTATATGGCAAAATAAAATGAAGTAGAATTTTCTGAATCATTTAAGATTTACTGAGTCTTAATCTCCACAATTATTACAATTTATATCTACCTAGCTCTTCCAGTGAAGGAACACCGTATTTCTCATCATGGTCATCGGACAGAGGAGTTGTGCACTTTTCTATCACTTCTGAAGTAATTGTCTCTACTGGTATCTCCAGTGGTTCCATTTTGCTGATGAGAGTCTGAAATCTTTTATAAGTTAGAGGCGGTTGTCCACCATTGAGTTCTATAATCCTATTATRTGAGAGTTAGTAAAATGCAGTTAGTAAAAAATGACAATATATTTTTGTTGACAATTTCTGAAAAGTCTTAAAACCAGAAAATAAAATTTATCATTTAAAACTTTTAGAATTTTAGCTTCTCATATATAACGAGCAACATATTCAAATGGTTAATTCATATAAAAAGTATTCTCTATTTTTTAGATATCTGCTAGGTATCAAAAATATATAATATGTAAATGCCAAGACCATTAAGACAAATAAGATTAAGAAAGTGGGAAAAAAAACCCAATTAAATGGTTAAATTAGCTTAAAGGCAAAAACAAGAAAGTAATTCACATGAATATGTAAAAAAATGTATTATAACCCAACTTAAGGAATCTCTGGATAATTAATGAAAATTAAACAAGACTGATAATATTACGAGTAATCTGCAAAAAATAAATTTTGTTGTGTATTATAAAAGGTTTACAACATGACATATAGGATACATACAGATAATACAAGAGTTACTATACTGAAGCAGACTAACAACTACAAGCTCACAAAAAAATCTTAATTATTTTGTGATGAGAGCAGCTGAAATCTACTTATTTAACAAAAATCCCTAATGCGATATTATTTTACCAACTGTGGTCCTATGTTATACTTTAGATCTTGGAACTTGCTCATCCTATATATCTGCKGCTTTGTATCCTTTGATCTACATCTCCTCATTTTTCCCAGCAAGTTTCATTAAGATTCTATATTATGATAATGACAATTATTTGTTATTTTCTACTATTTTTTTTCAAGACTGGGGATTGAACCCAGGGAGGCTCTATACCTGAGCTACACCTCTACCCATTTTTATTTTATTTTGAGACCCTGTCTTGTTAAGTTGCTGAGGTTGGCCTTGAACTTGTGATCCTCCTGCCTTAGCCTCCCTGATTGCTGGGATTAAGAGAGCATACCACCATGCCCAGTTTGTGTTCATGTCTTCATTAAAGATATCAACATTTGCATCTACGTCGCATAGACTACTATCCCTTACTTGTGATTTTGTTTTCCATGGTTTCAGTTACTCTTGGTAAACTGTGGTCCAAAAATATTGATATTTGACTTCACTCTTTACAGAAAGTGAGAGAGACCACGTTCACATAAATTTATTACAATATATTGTTATAATTATTCTATTTTATTATTATTATTATAAAGCTCTTATTATGCCTAATTTATAAGTTAAACTTTATCATAAGTATGTATATAGAGGGAAAATACAGTATATCTGAGGTTTGGTGCTATCCCTGGTTTCAGGCATTTATTGAGGGTCTTAGAACATCTCCCTTGGATATAAGGAGAGGACTACCATACTTAGGACATATAAGCCCCCCAATTCCAAGTTATTTGAGTACCTTATATATTTACTTCTGATCACTAATTGCCTCAAACAAGTCATAGTTAAAAGAATAACTAGCTTTGCCATGGAACTTCAGATCAGATAGATTAGATACTATTTGGGAGTAACTACTGTTTTTCATTATGACAATTTGCTTAATAAAGAATCACAGGGAACTCCAATTCGTCATTTTGAGTGCAGAAATTGAAGCTTATCAGGAGGGTTCAGTAAATTAGTCAAGATCATATAACTGATAAATGGCAAATCTAAAACAATGTATTTTTATTATATATCATATATAAATTATTATCAACTATGTGTACAGAAAATAATCATCAAAAAGCTATACTCTCTGCTTTAAGTAAATTTTCTTTTGGCATAATATTCTAAATTTACACATAGGTCATATAAATTTTATTGACTATAATGATACCACAATGGTATTATTGAAGGTACTGTATATTATAAAATGAAAATCTTATAAAACTATTTTCTCTATGTTACACATAAACATGATAGACTGCATATGGTAAATATTCATATTCAACCAATAAGCACTACTGTTATGGAGAACACTGAATCTACCAGTTGTAAGCACCTTCTCTTACCCTGTTTGCTGCCTCCTTCTGATCAGCTCCTAGGGAGCTAGAAAGCAAGTTTACTAAAAGGACATAAGACTTCCAGATTAATCCCAGCAGCTCGGTGGCTGAGGCAGGAGGATGCTGAGTTCAAAGCCAGCTTCAGCAAAAAGCAAGGTGCTAAACAACTCAGTGAGACCCTATCTCTAAATAAAATACAAAACAGGGCTGGAGATGTGGCTCAATGATTGAATCCCCTGAGTTCAACCCCCAGTTACCCCCCCAAAAAAAATCAAGTAAGATCCTTGTCTGTATCAAATCATGATTTAATATACACAGAGACACAGAATAAAATTAGTCATGTTTATTACAGAATTATTTTATTAACAATAAAATCTGTAAATAACTTAAGAAAAATAACTAAAAAGGTTTATAATTGATATTTTGGTATTTGTAAGAACAATCATATGGCAAAATTTTACTTTAGTAAGTTAACAAATCCCACGAACCTCCCAAACTCACTGTATCTACTACTTCCTAGCCTTCAAKTTGACATAATATTTGTCAGACAAAGCATCACCAGGGACTAGTGTTTAAAGAAGCATACTTTTGAGAAATATGGTATCAGGCCATTGTTCAGATGACTAAAATTATGTAAAGTTATAGAATATTCAATTTGCATCTGGACTTAAAATCTAGATTAAAAAGATGATGTATACACATGAAATAAAATAAGATAATCATACAAGATATGTGAAGGTGATTTATGGCTCTGCATCATATAAATTACAAAACTAATAATACTAAGAGCCCAGAAAAGTCAGACCATATTAGGCTGAATTAGTCAAAAAACATTTTGTAACAGTGTTAATCATTAATAGCTTTGAAACTGAAATACTCAGTACTTTTATCTTATGCACAATGTCATTAATTTTGGAGCTTGTTATTGAATGCATAAAAATTGTAGCAGCTAAATTAAATGCTAAAGCTTTGACATATATTCATTTACTTCTCCTATAACTCTATGATGTATATGTTATTTTCACTTTACAAATATATGTATTAGTAACTAGTTCAAATGTCTATGTACTTAATACCACTGTATACTTTAATATGGTTGAGATAGTAAATACTATTATGTATATTTTCCCACAATAAAAAACAAAACAAAACCATACTTGTCTAGGTCATATAATGTGTGTGAAATTCGTACAATGACTTCTACTCCAGCTTCAGTAGCCAGTTTCTTTATAGCTGCATCTCGTTCCTTTCCAAAGGGCTCAGAATCATACTCAATTGAAAGTTTAGTAATGTTCCATTCCTAAAATGAGAGAAAGAAGTAAAAATGTACACCAGCTTTATAATTATTATTTTTTCTATCATAACAATAAGTGAAAGGCTCAAATTCCACTTAAAATGATTAAATAAATCAAACTTCCAACATGCAGGAAAAAATACACAATTTATCACCCCAAGAATATGCAAACAGTGAATGTATACTCACTAGATTCCAGGCATCATGCCAGGCACTACTCTACCTAACAATATGTTCAAAACCAGTTCTTACACTAAATGTGTTTGTACAGCACTTTACTTTAAAAAATTACTTATAATTACATTATCAAACTTCAACATAACCCTCAAGACTTGGCACTTCAGTTGGTATCTATGTTGTGCAGATGASATTAAAATTAGGGACTTGCCCAAGTCCACAGAGAGCCAGAACACCTGAACTTATGCCTGCTGGCCTAAGAACTGGTCTTTAACAAATCTTTGGTAATCAATATTGTAAATGCTGCTTTAGATGAATCCTATAAATTCTGTATATTAGCATTTCTATTTTCAGTTTATAAATATTTGCTATTACTATTCATTTTTAGTTTGATTCTGTTCTAGTCAGACAACATAATATGTAAGATTTCAGACTTTTGCAGTTAACTGATTCTTATTTTATAGCAAAGTATAGTCTATCTGTCTTGGTGAATGTTTCCTGTGAATGAGAAATGTGTGTTCTATAGTTCTTGGGTACACTGTTCTACAAATATCAGCCATATCAAACTGACTGATAGTATTGTTAATATCAATCTTATCTTTATTAGTTTTTGTATTTTATAGAAGGCACATTCCTATATTCCTGGAGAGGTAGAGGCTATGAATTTCCTTCAGACCTAAGATTTGGAATTTGCACAATGTCTTCTTTGACACTTGTTTTACCCAAGTTATAGGGACAACCCAGATTCAGTGGGGGTGGAGAAAAACTCTTTTGATGGAAAGAGCAGCAAAATGATAAGGATTCAATACCCCTTCCAAGATATCTGCATGGCTCACTCCCTTCTCAAATATCACCTTGTAAGTGAGGCCTTCTATGATTTCATATGAAGTAACTACCCTTTCCTTGCCCTAACACTATTTCACATTTTATGTTTCTCTGCAGGACCCATCATCACCTGACAYTGCATATTTACTTATTTATGATCTATTTCCTTCCCACTAAAGGACAAGCTCTGAGAATGTAGGTACTTTATCTGTTTCACTACTATTTCTTTTTTAATTTTTTAGTTGTAGTTGGATCTAATACCTTTATTTTATTTATTTATATTTATATGGTGTGAGGCCCGAACCCAGCGCCTCGCACATGCTAGGTGAGCACTCTACTGCTGAGCTACAACCCCAGCCCCTCAATCTTATATTTCTAGCACATTGAACCCTGCCTTATACACAACAGGTATTCAATTAATATCTGTGAATGAATTCTATCAAGCATGTGCCATGAAGTAATAAAGCAAGATCCAAAGTAGCTCAGAGAGCATATATAAACCTGATGCTGAAATAATAGTGGCTTTATATATTCTTTTTATTTATTATGTGATTTTTCAACAAAATATTTTATTATGCTTCAGTGTGCTCACTTATAAAGATGTTAGGCACATATCTCTTGTTCTTGGATATAATGAGAATTTTTTTTWAAAAATTCAAGTATATATTCAACATGTATCTATTCTTTAAAATGAGTACTTTAAACTCTTCATTAAAAGTTTCTGCAGAGAAAACAAAAAGGTTCTGCAGGTTCTTTCTTGTGCTCGTCTTGGTAACTTTACCAATTTGGTGCCAAATGTGGAAGATGCAACATGTAACTCTGTAAAAATACAAGTGACACACTTACAATTACAGTGCCATCCAAGTTTTGCCTAAGCTAGTACCTCCTAAGCTTCTTAGAGATCATTTTTTTTTTTCAGGAAAACATGAAAAGAAGAAGTGAAAAGAACAGGTCATTTTGTCAGCCTATATTAAGCCGGAATTTAACTGAGGAAAAATCATCATAGAAAACACATCATAAGTTTATTAGACTTGTTCGTATGCACATGTATATATAAAAATGCTCTGATACATTCCTAAATCTACTCATTATAAACAGAATAAACTGAGCACATATGATAGAGGAAAGATGGATACTAGAGGAGACATCAGTACTGAAGTCATTATCATGTTCTAATAAATTAAATGCAATGTTATCAGGTCTAAACCCATTTTTCCTCCAATGTGGGAAACAGAATTTCCTATTAAAAATTCTCATTATTTGCTATATAATAAAACTAGACACACTAATTTAAGTGAGTCAGCTAGTTATTACTGACAAAAGAATCTTCTCCCCCAGACAAACCATGGGTATGAGAACTAGGAGTGGGCAGGAGAATGGCTTTTATTTATTTACTTATTTTATTGGTACATTTATATTTAATAGGGGGATTCAATGTTATAAATTTATACATGTACAAAACATAATTTGGTCAATTTCATTCCCAGTATCTTCCCTTTTTTCTCCCCTCCTGCCCTATACAGGGAAGACACCTACTTTTATCTTTCTATAACTTAAAAATACATGTATGTAGTACCTTTAAATATAAAGTTGAAACATGAATTCAATAAAAAGGAAGTAATTATCTCCATAGCTCTAGATAGGAAAACAACCTTTCTGATTAATTTACTCTGTCATTTTATATAGACTATTGTATGTAGTTGAAGGAAAATCAGAATAAAATAGTAAATGTTCTATGTGTATGCATGTATTCATGTATTTGCATTTGACAGCTTATGTTAAAACCTATGCCTCTCTGCCAAATTAACAAGATGGGGCATARTTTAAGTGCATAAGATAGTCTGACCCAATCATATACTATTTTGGGAAGAAGAAATCTCAAAACAAAGAACACAAAAGATGTGCTGACTTAAAAATATTTATTCAAAAAGAAGTATATAGCTGTACACTGTGGTGCATGCCTGTAATYCCAGMTACTTAGGAGGCTGAGGCAAGAGGATCTCCAAGTTTGAGGTTAGTCTGGGCAACTTAGTGAGACTGTCTCAAAATAAAAAATAAAGAGAACGGAGGATAAAGTTCAGTAGAAGAATATACCTGGCAAATGGAAATGTTATTTTATAGCAATCAAAATATTCTTAGGATTCACTTTGCCCATACCAAATGGATTATTTATAGGATTGAAACGACTGAAGCAATTATCCAAATACATTTTTACACTTGTGAGTTGTAGATAATTTATTATTGTTTCTGGGATGCTTTCTTGTCAGAATTCCTCATATATCAGTTAAATTAGAATTCCACAAAGTTATAGAATTGAATAATCTTTAATAAATGTCAAATTTTCACTAGCCAAAGTTGTTACATTAGCCAAATCATGACCATTAAATGTTTCTTTCCTACCATTAAGAGAAAGGTAAGGTAAGAATGACTTGATACTCACTATTGGGGACCTTCTTATTCAGAGAATGAAATGGTTCTTTTCAGGATTAGAAACAGAAACACTATTACTCTAAAAATATAATGAATCAAACAGCTCCAAGAAAAAGCAGATAAGCGTTTAAGAAATCTGATAATAGCAAGTAGGAAGGAAAAAGTAAAAAAGAATAATAGCCAGGAAAATCAGCTTCTGATCTTAACACTTGCACGAACTAACTGTATAATCTTGGGCAACTCATTTAATCTTCCCAGGCCTAATTGTTTCATCTGGGATAAAAGGGAGAAATAAACAGGAGATTGTTAAGATTCTAYCAGGCTTAAAAACAACAACAACAACAAACCAAAAACCTACAATTTTATATTATTGGTAAAATGTCAGTGGTTTTTGACCCTCTGATCCAGAATATGCACAAACATACTGGCACTTATGAGCAAAGATATGTAAATGTGGCATATTCTGTATTAACAAGAGGCCTGTGGGGGTGGGGTAGTAAATGGTTATCAGACAATTACTTAAAGAAATCATAGTATATCCACACTAAGGAATACTATGGAGCCATTTAAAAGACTGAGGAAATAATACGGAACAATCTCCAAAATACATGTTTATATGAACACAGCATGGCTCAAAACAGTGAATATGGTTCTCTCATTTTGGAATTTTAAAAAGGGAACAGTAACACATGAGGATACATATAAATACACACATATAAATTCTTGTTTATGCAAAGAATATTTCTAACTGGATACACAAGAAACTGGTAGTAGCTCGTGTAGCTTCCTTCTGAAAGGGGAACTAGCAGTTAAGGTAGAAGAAAGATTTAACTTTTCATTTTAAACAATCCTTCTATAATGTTTGATTTTAGCAGGGGTAACTTTTTCATTAAAGAAAAAAGCCATGCAATTTTCATTTTAAAATACTTGTATTCCTAATACTTTAGCACAAAAAGCATTATTTGCCAAATATGTTCTCTGAAAAAGGTTATTATTTTATTCAAATATTTGCAAATTACCTTGAAAAGCCTGGGAAACACATCTGCTGGTTGTCCACGAATCACAAATAGACGAGAATTTAATTTTCGTAGATTGGCATCAAGATCCTCAAGACATTGAAGCAAAAATCTAGAGAAGAAACACAAAAAATGTTAAAAATATACATTTATAAGATGTAAAGCATTGCAAAACCATGTTATTGCATAATTTGAAATGTTATTCATCATTTTATTAATACCCCTAACTCATATAGAAATTACTCTGTCCAGAAAGAATACTTAGTTTTGGTTAATTATAGCACAAGTTTCCGAATCAAATCACTTTTTTTTTTTTGCTTTCCTAAATCAAATCACTAATTTTCATTAAATAAAAATTACATAAACAAAAATTTAATTTGTGAAAATAAAAATTATGCAAAGATATAGCAAAGCAATTAAATGAATTAATTTCATTATTTAAACTTGATGAAGTGACAAATTTCCTATATAAAAATGACTTCACATAGAAAGGCCACCTTGAAAAATCTAGAACATTTTTTTACTCTGGGAAAAATGGAAATATCCTGTTGAATAAGTGAGTAAATAATTTAAGAATATAAATACTAGGGGTGACTGTAATCATCTAAGGCAGAAATCATAATACTTATTTTCATGTTTCTAATCTAAAGAAAAAAGGAATTAATAATAATTAGATGATAAATTATGTGGTATTAACAATTGACTATAGAGAGTACCAGATTGCTTTTTTTTAAGGTCTCATGGAACAGGTGGGGCTATAGATTTTTTCAATAAATTAAGTACCACCAAAGTTTACATATGACATATATCTGGAAGAATTCTGAGGCAGTGATAGAAGACAGCTTACTGTGTTATTCTACTGCAATGAAACTGAGCATTTCCCAAGAATAAATCTAAAAGAGGTCAGCCCTGGAATGTTCAGCTTCATCGTTTGCATCATGTTAATTTTCATATAGATTCAGTTCTTTCAGTTTATTTCCTTTCCATTTTCTTTTATGTTTTTAAATATTTTTCTGTCTTTTCACAGGCTACATACTCATTGAGAAGAATGGTCATGTCTTTCTTGAGAGGAGGAGTGGTTGAGGAAGGAATGATGTATCACAGAAATGCACTGTCCAATACAATGACCAAAAGACACATGCAGCCATTTTAATTTAAATTAATTAATATTTAAAATTCAGTTGCTCAATTACACTGGCCACATTTCAAGTCCTCAATAGCCACATAGATGGCTAGTAACTACCACATTAGACAGCACAGGTGTAGAACATTTCTATCACTGCAGAAAGTTCTACTAGAGGTTCTCTAGAAGGTTCTACAAGGTTCTTAGTCTAGATCATCTTGTTCTCTTTGCCAATTCTGATCCCATCATTTCACCAAAAAAAAAAAAATGCTGAATTTTTTTTCCAACTGTAGTTATTAATGTCTTAAGTATATTAGTCAGCTGATACTTTTCCACTTCAGGAGTCAACATTTCTAGAGCTTAGAGAGTCACAGTCACTCAAGAGGATGTGAAAGACAGTCCACCATTTTACCTTAGGAAGTTTCATGCGATCATCAAACGAACAGAAAACAAAGCTTTCTGTGCTCACATTTATATTTATCACATACCTCTTCTCTCTTGGTTTGGAGTCACCTCCCTAATACCTAATCCCCAGCCCATTCCAACACTACCAATATGTTAAGTTCTTCAGGGGAGAAGACTTTAGTTAGATGCATAGCAATATGAGAATATATGAGTTTCATAAAATTATCTGCAACTATGAATAACATCACATGTGGTGATGTTTTTTGGAAAGAATGTAATTTAATATATTTGCTTATTTACAAGAAAGTTTTTGTTTTTGTTTTGAGATGGGGGTCTCACTATGTTGCCCAGACTGGCCTCAAACTCTTGGGATCAAGCAATTCTCCCACCTCCTCCTCCTGGTAGCTGGGATTATAGGTGTATGCTGCCCCACCTGGATAGCAAGAGAATGATTAAACCAAAAATTAAGAAATCAAATGGACTGGCATCTTTAAGTTTGCTTAAATTAAAACAGCATAAAACTAAAATGTCCTGGAGAGGTAATCCAAGGCAAAGATAATCCCCAAATCTTTGTTGTCTCATCAGCTTCACCATGTTTACCTGCACTGGTAATAAATCACAAAAGTTCAATTCAATCTTTCAGTAGGAATGTTTTTAGGTAGTATGAGGTAAGATCAGAAAAGCAAAATATCAAAAGAACATGATTACTACATAAAATGAACAACTGAGTCTGGATTTGCTAATAACTGGTTCTTTATTTTCCCTTTCTTATTTGTAGGCTGAATAAACATTCTAATGCTTTTCAATAAACACTGTATGAATTAACAAAATGTTGGACAGAATAATATGGACTGAAGTAATGTGTTACAATGGAAAATATTGCAACCTAAGAATTAATTCTGTTTTGGCACTTCATGAAACAATGTCTAGAAGCTGTATTTAACTATGGTGATTCTCTTCCAAATTATGATATTTTCTTCCATAGATGTTATAATTTATCTCTCTGGTTTCACATAAAAAAATTACAGGATAAAGTGGACTCAAATATAGTCACTTTAAAAAATAAYACAGGTACTTTGTACACAGATATTTAAAGTAGAAAATATAAGAAGAGAAAAAAGGAAAGAACAAAGTAGAACAAACTGTGACACTGTCCTTTATGTCTACTCATGTTGATATGGGCATAAAGATAATAACTGGAAGGATACTTAACAAGCTATTAATAATATCTACCCTTGGGGAATGGGATAGGAGTAGAAACATATTTTTAAAAAATTCACAAAAAGTTTAAAATTGATAATCAGCATACACTTATTTAAAGAAGAACAAAAATGAGATATACTRTATCTATTGTAAGCCTGGTTTAATACATGCTGAACATTTTTTCAAAGCTGTTGCTTTGAAATATTTCTATGGCATAAAATTTCATAGTATTCTGTTATAGATGTTCCATAATATAACAAGTTCTTCAATTGATCCTGAAAACTGGTACAGTAATAACATCTCATAGCATTTTGATGAAAACTGAATAAATTAACATATATGAAGCTCTTAGAACAGAGTCTGCTCCAAGTAAACACTATTATATAAGTGTTATTTTTTGCTTTTTAGTTCATCCTTTACCCACCTCTATTCGGCCTACAGTAATTCCAGTTATTATCTCTTGTTTGTATTATTTACTGCAATACCTTAAAATTGGTCTGCCTTCCAAAAACTCTGTCCACTGTACTTCATTTTAATACACAATACCAAATCTTTGTGAGGTACACTTTTCTGTACAAAGGTCTTCAAAGACTCACCTCTTATATAATAATAATAATAATAAAAAACAACTTATTTTCTTGGCCACTAACCTAGGGAGCCAGGCTCATTTTCTCCTCCACTCCCCTTGTCCTCCCACCAAATCAAACTAGTTCTCTTTTTCCTATACATTCAGTCTCCTAGAATTTGCTCTATGATATTTCCTAGGCCTGGAAGGTCTTTGAAAAATTTCCATCTCTTCAAGTTCATATCTTACTAAGTTTTCAGTTTTACGCCTGAAAGTAATTTCTCTACCCTCTGAATTGTCAAAGGACATAGTGCTCTCCTCATCCTAGATAAGCTTTGAAACTGTACCTCATATTATTGATATACAATGTGTGTGTGTGTGTGTGTGTGTGTGTGTGCGCGCGCGTTGTACACATATCACCTCCTCCTGATGGATTTCAAATTAAGTATGTGTGACTGATTCTTTTTTTTAATCTTTTTAAAATATTTGTTTTAGTTGTAGGTGGACACAATAGACTTTATTTTATTTTTATGTGGTGCGGAGGATGGAACCCAGTGTCCCACGGGTGCTAGGCGAACTCTCTACCACTGAGCCACAACCCCAGCCCCTGTGTCTGATTCTTAATCATAGAGTTTTCTTAAACTGTGTTTTGATTTCTATCTTTGGCAAACAAATCTCAAAATGTGCCTTGTAGAATTTACTAAAAAGATCTGAAATAGGGATTAAATGACCTAGGTTTGTTTTGTATAACTATTGAAAGGATCAGAAACAGCATAAAATCACTAAGTAAAATCCCCTAGCACTTGGTAGATATTCATTAAACAGAAGTTATCATTTTTTTCCTTCAAGAATAATTTCTAATTTTGATAAAAAACCCATGTATTTCTGAATTTTAAATAGTTTGGCATGACAAAAGAAAACAATGAATTTCTTGGATGCCTACACCTATACAGAACTTTGAATTTCATCTGTATATGATTGTGAACCAAGGTTTGACCTTTGTCAGTAATAAGAACACTGTGAATATGAATATATATTTATAAACAAGATACAGTGCAACTAAGATTCTGAATCAACCAACCTTTAAATATATAATTCTTTTTAGGTAGTACTACCAAAAACTTTTAATTTTTTTTTTTTTTTTTTTAGTGTTAAATGAAAAAGGATACTTGAAAACTATACAAAATCTAACACTTCATCCTTTACCCTTAACTGGGAAGAGAGATTGTTCAGAGTTCAGCTTGAGTGTGGTACAGAAAACACATGAATTTCAACATTTCATATTACAAATGCATCTGCCTTAAAATAGGTATTCAGTATTAAATCAAATGAATGATGTAATGTATTCAATTGAAAATATATTTGGTATAATTTTAACAGGAACATATTTAGAGATCTTCCCTAATTTGGCATATACTATATACTATCCATATAGTATGGATAGTATATAGTATATACTGTAATCATACCCATTTGAAAGCTCAGTTAATAATACTATTTAACTACATGCAACACATTGTTTTAAAAATAGGCCAGTAGTAAAACTCACTACAGCCCTTTGCATAACTGTACTGTCTACACAGAAAAACAGTCCTCATGCTCTTTAATTACAATACTGAAAGCAACACTTTCAAATAAATTGAAAAATATATTTCTTCATTTTAAATATTTTTAAGGATTTTTCCCCTCCACAAATCACTATTTATTGCTATTATAAGAAAATTACATGGAGTAAGCTTCCTTATACCACTTTCAAAAGATGATTTCAACATGAATCAACAGAAATAGTTTCTTAAAGTAGGTCATTGCTATAGTA